GAGGTGCGGGGTTGATATGATGGCTGTGCTGCACAGGGCACGGTGTGGGCATGTGGTGACATTCCACTGCTCCCAGCAGGGCTTGGAGCAGCTGCAGGAATGCTGGGAGGTGTTGGGGTGCAGCGTCCTGTGCAGGAAACCAGCATCACCCCCCTGAAGAGCTGATAGACAGTAAGACAGTGAGCTGCTTGTGAACAACTTGTTGCTTCCTTTTGCATCAAAATGGCTTCTGCCTCAAGGGCTGAGTGTGTTTGTGGCCACATTCCTTCAGTTGGTGCCTCCTCAGCCCCTGGCAGCCCTGGCAGCCTGTGCCCAGTGCTGACTGTGGGCAGGGACAGCCCTTGGCTTGCAGCAGGGATGGTTGCCTGGTGGGTTCCTAGGGCAGGGAATGTACCTGACTGCTCCCAGAGAGCTCCTGGGGGCACCCACCAGAGAAGCAGAGGCAAACGGACGTGGTTCTGCTCAGTTCTTTGGTTGCACACAACAGCAGCCATCAGCCTTGTCCAAATAAGGTTTGTGCATGAGGGAAGGCAGTGGCTGGTGAGGTTTCTTCGCTGTGTAAGTTCCCCTTTTTGAGAACTACCACTTTAAAAGAAAAACAACAAAAAAACAGTTCCAGACAGAGCTGCCACTGCTTCTTCAGTCTTCACAGCAGCAAAAAGTGCATTTCTTTCCTGTGCACCTCCTACTTCCCGTTTGCCCCAAGCTCTGCAGTGGGAGCACCACGTACCTGATATGGAATAAGGTTTACAAGCAGCTGAGATCTCCCCAGAGGTCAAACTCAGATCTTCTGGAAGTGTGATATGGGAAGGCTGGTTCAGCCTGGCTTTCTCCTGCCCGTCGCGTGTTCTTGTGCTGTACTACATGCTCCTGTGAATACATGGCAGTGATACTGGTGAAGCAGCTGGGTAACTTTAGAAGCCATATACGGCATCTACTTTGCATAGATGAAATGCAGATGGCCTCTTGAAGGGAGCTAGGAGTAAGCACATGGCTTGCTTTTTTCCTTACAAGCAGACACTGGGAGAGGATTGGCTCAGAGCTGTAGGACTGAAGCCCTCTTGCAGCCCCTCCAGGGCCTGTGGCTGTGCTGCCCCACATGAGCATTCCCAGTTCCCATCTCCTCACCTCCTTTCTGTGTCAAGATATCTCCATGTCAGAGAGCAGTGTCATGGTGCAGGAGCTGACCCCAAGCCAGCAGGCAGCATTGCACAATACTCACCAGATGTCAGTGTGCTGGGCTCACATGGGGCCTCATAGCAGTTTCTAAAAGCCCTGATGCAGCAGGATGCAGGTGGCCGAGCTGAGACTCCAGCATGGGGCAGAGGCAGAAAACAGCTCCTTCTGACCCCTTTCCTGGAGAGCTGCAATCCAGCACTGGGGGACTGATGCTGGAAACAGCGTTTGTGCCACTCAGAAGAAGAGCAGTGTAACTTTAGGGCTGAAGGGGCTCAGCTGCTATATGCTGCCTCACGTTGTTCTGTCTGTGACGTGGGACCACAGTACGTGTCCTCTTGGAAAGCCTGCTGAGATTTGCTGGTGGAAAGAGCCATGACAGAGCACCAGAAGTCATCTGGTGTTCGCGTTGAGTTGATGGTGCTGTGCAGCCATCACCACACAGTGCAATTTCCCCACATGAAACCGCAGTTTCCTTTCAGCAAAACTCCCAAAATACATCCCAGTGACGTAACTACTACTTGGGGTTCTCGTGGCAGTCTGGGCGCTGCAGAGAGCTCTGGGTTCAGAAGCCAGCTTGCAAACTATGGGAGAATAGCAGCCTAAAGCACTGGAGATGTTGAGGCTCCTCTTCCGCACCAAGCCAAGGATCCAGGAGGCAAGTGTCTAGCTGTAAGGTATCTGCTGTGCACAGCCCGGCGCTGTCTGCTCTGCAGGATGCAGGGAGGATTGGGGAACCTCCTGCTCTCAGAGAGCCGGCCCTGATCCTGTCTGCATTAACGACTTCTTTCTTGCAAAAGGCATTTCTGATGGTAAAGCTGCTTTCCTAGAAGTCTTTCCTAGGTGCTGCCAAAATTTGGGGACCGGAGCATGTGCGAAGCAACAGAAATTACAACAGCTTCTGGTTAGTTGTTGATGAATAGGAAGCGAAATGCCAGAAGCATAATCTGCTTTTAGCTTTTGCATTTTTTTTTCTTGCATTTCAATGTGACTGTCTCAACCATCGAAGTGACAGAACGCGAGCAAAAACAAACCTGTCTCTTGGCTTCTGGTTCGCAAAAGCTTTCCTCAAAAAGGAGAAAGCAGGAAGGAGGACTCGGATTTTGTATTTGAAGCGGCACGTGCCCCCAGCCCTGGCATGGGATGAGCCATCTGTGCCGAGAAGTTCACCAGAAGTCATCTCCTGCACCCACTTCTGCAACTTGCTGTGCTCAGAGCTGCCGGGCACGCATGGCTGCGCTTTTCTTTTCCAGGAGCGCGGAGGTGATTTCCCCAGCGTGCAGGAATTTGCAAGATGGCCTCCCCTGGGGCTGCGGGCAGGAGATGGCTGCTGTTGTGCTGATGGGGTTGGACCACAGGACCTGCGCTTGTGCAATGGGTTCATGCCTGGCGGAAGGTGTCGGGGTGGGACAGCCCTTCCTCACACCCCCAGGGAGATGCAGCGAGGGAGGAAGGGGAAGAGGTGAACAAAGGGCCCCTCTGATGTGATACAGTCCTTCCGGACTTGAAATCTGTCAGTTCTGAGCGCTGATCTGCAGCTTTGCCGCACCTCCTTTCCCTTGGGGTTCACCTTTCCTCTCCCCACTTGTGCTCCTGTGCTGCTTTCTGACTTGCTGGAGGAGCAGCAGGAGCTCAGGACTCTCCTGCACAGACGTGTGGGCTGAAGGCTTGCACCCTGGGGGAAACATTGCAAATATGTTTGGATTATTCTGATCTGATTTTTTTTGAGTGTTTTTTTCTATCTGAGCTTCAGCTCATTCTCTCAAAACCAAACCAAAGAGCACCCGTGTGATAGCATATCTACGTGTACTCATAAAAACATAGCAGGCTTCAGGATCTAAGCTCTGTCCATCCAAACCTTCTTCCCTGTCTGAGTTCCTCCGAGGAGAAAGAGCCGTATCCGAGCTGAGAAGCACTTATTTTTTAAACTCCCTTTAAACTTTCCTTAGTCTCACCGTAAGGTTTTGTAGCATTGCATCTGGTCCCAAAGTGTACACCAATATCTCTGCTGCTGCTCAGGCCTGCATTGGTCTTGCCCTGCCCTGCCCTGGAGGGGTGCAGTGAGGTTCAGTGTTTGGACATGTTCCTACAGCTGCTTCAGGAGTGCTGGGCCTCCCTCTTTCGCAGCAGTGCTTTGGATCACGGGGAGCACGGATCCCATTGCCAGCACCGTGCGTCCTTCTCCACTGCCTGTCGGAGTCTGTCCAAGGCTCCAACAGCAGCTGGCTCCTCCTGCTCTCCTGGAACCACCACCAGATCAGGGCGTGCAGTGGGATGTGACCAGGGGTTGCAAGCAGCTCACCCTCTGCCTAAGCGAGTTTGCTGGGAAAGCTTTAGCAGAGTACTGCAGACCCTTTGTGCTGACACTTATTTGTTGTTCTGCAGGCAAAGTCAGACATCACTTGGGTAGAGAAAGATCTGGTGGACCCTGCAGACAAGGTAAGAGAGCCTCTGGGAGAGTGGTGCACTTAATGGCATTTGTCCTGTGGTAGCATGTATGAGAGGGAATTGTTGCTTGCAGGGACCCCAGCACCATGCCTGCCTTGCAGATTTACCTGCAGACCTGTCTCCGCTCAGTGGAAGTGCTCATGGAGTAAGCGGTGCTTAGTCACTTGCTCATGTGACATTCTAGACTTGACTTCATCCTCCTCCTCCTTCCTGCCCACACCAAACCCCTTTATGTGCTGTTGTTCTTGTCTCCTGCCACATTCTGATCTTGTTGGCTTGTAGGGCTCTGCTGTTGAGCTGTGTGGACACAAGGTGGCTTCTTCAGGGAGCTGAGTGGTGGTAACTCAACACTTAACGTTGTGGTGGTCAGAACAAAATTCATCAGATCTAAATAGCTCCAGGCGCATCTGCAGAGAGCTGTTACTGCAGCTCCTGTGGTGATGCTCATCTGCATCCCTGCAGAGCAAAGGAGGTGTCAGAATGAGCTGAGGCTCTGGAGAGAACGGTGGAGCGACTGTGCAGTGCTGTCCCATGCTGCTCTGTGCTCCCAGCCCCTTGCTTTGGGATCATCACCAGGTGCTGAGGCTCTCCCTGCAGAGCTGGCACCAGCTGGCTTGCTGGCGTTCAGTCATTTGATTCTTTCATTACTGGTTATCAAAGAGCATGGTACAGGGGTGGAAGAGGCAGGACTGTCATAAATGGGCTCTCTGAGTCCCCTTGTCAGACTGTGTTCTGCAGAAATTCAGAAGTCAACACCAGCACAGGGTTATTTCTAGTTGCAAAGATGCGTGGGCGTCACTGTACCCATCTCAAGGGCTTTCTTTCTGACCTACACTCAGAGGGTGCTGCTGCATTAGACATCAGTCCAGACTCCATGAAAAGGTCAAAGGAAAATATGGGTTTGGAGGGGGAATGAAGCAAAAAGGATTGGGTTTGAAATAAAAATGAAGGGGTAGGTGTAAACCCTGATGGTGGCAGAAGGTTGGTGATAGGACCAGAGGGAATGGTTTCAAGCTACGGCAGGGGAGATTCAGGCTGGACATCAGGAAGTATTACTTTTCAGAAAGGGTGGTCAGGCACTGGAATGGATGCCCAGGGAGGTGGTGGAGTCACCGACCCTGGGGGTGTTCAAGGAAAGACTGGATGTTGTGTTGAGGGACATGGTTTAGTAGGAGCTATTGGGAATAGGTGAACGGTTGGACTGGATGAGCTTTTAGGTCTTTTCCAACCTTGGTGATTCTATGATTCTATGATTCTAAGGTTCACCATGGAATTGGCACCCACCACATCTCACTGAGGGTGACCATCAACCCTGTGGGAGAGCCAACAGAAGTGCTGCCAGACTTCTGCGTGGGGGTTCATTCATCTTTCTCTTCCTTTTAAAAGAGACAGAGGCTTATCAGCATATTCTCCCGTTGTGGAAATACCCACAGTGTGAGCATGGCACATGGTGCTAGGATGGAGGTCAGACTTTGACCTACACCATGCACGTTTTCTGTCAGAGAGCATCTTTTCTGAGCCAGGGAAGGGAAATCGAATGTGAACACGGAGCTGTGAGATTTTTTTTGAAAGCAAAACAGCAACAACAAAAAAAAGCCCCAACCACAAGTGCCGTCAAGGAGCATGAACCTGCCTCCGTGTGACCAAATCGCTCATCTCCGCTACACATCTGCCAGCAGGCTTTAATCACCCGCATCTCCTCCAGCGTGGCGGTGTGTTGGTGTCTGTGTGCCCATGCCAGAGCCTCCCCAGCTCCAGGGGCTCCCTGAGGTGGTCACTGGGACCCTGCAATGTTGAGCGGGATGGGAGAATGGAGAGGGACCCCAAGCTGCCCCGCATCTGCGCCTTCCTCACACTGTGGCTGCACAGGAAGCACCGAGCGAAGCCCTGCAGCCTGCAGCTGCCAGCCCCCAGCCCGCTCCCCAGCCCGGTCAGTATGTAGATTGTGTTGCCTGCTGCTCATCCTGGTGGGTCAATGCTTTAGATGAATGTTCTGGTTTGCTTTTGTCTTTGTGCCTTGTGGGGTGGTTTGCTTTGTGGTGCCCTTGTAAGAAACTCATCGTGGTGCAGTGAAGGCTCAGTGGCACGTGGGGGCTGTTGTGCTGGAGATGTGTGGTGGTGTAGGACTTGGTCTCAGAGCTGCAGGTTGGGCTGCGGAGACCCTTTGCAGCTCAACATGGTGGGTCTTGCCATTGGCCAAGGCAAAGAGTTCCCACAGCTGTGGTATGAGGAGGTGTCTTGGAGGTAGACATAGTGTTCATTTTGAATGTTCCTCTCTGCAAAAGTGTGTGAAGCTGCAGGGTGAAATACGTGGCAGCGACATGTAGGTTTGTTTTCTCTCTTGAGTTTTCATGAAGATGGCAGGAGGGAGGGAAGGAGCCCAGCAGCCTGCAGACAGCCCTGTTGTGACACAGCCAGCCTGCAGGGTGTTTGTTTTACTGTGCCTAACGGTTCATGTAATCTCACACAGCCCACATTGGCACCTGGAGGCCATGGAGACCTATAGGCCAACTGTTGGCTGGAGCTGGGAAGCTGTTCCTGACCAACAGCTGTTCGCCGTGGGCAGAGCCTCCAAACAAAACTGGAGGTGTAAGATGGCTGAATGAAGCTGAGAGATCACATGGAATGTGAGACCTTGTTGTCATAGAGGTTGTAATATCTTCCCTTGCTGTGCTCACTGAGATTTGCTTAGTGGGCATGGAGGGGATGAGTTTATGGTTGGACACGATGATCTTAGAGGTCTTTTCCAACCTTCGATGGCTCCATGATTCTGTGACACAGGGGGAGCTTCTGTCTCATCACCCTCTCCATGTGCTCAGACTGCATTGTGCATGGGTCTCTCTGCCAGATCTGAGTATCTGGATGTCGCAGGATCCCGAGAGAGCAAAGCTACCAACAGACACGGAGCAAAGCCCTACCTTACGTAGTGAAAAGCCAAGCACAGGAGTGGGAAAGGAAGGGTGCTCAATGTTGTGCTGCAGGCAACAACCACATCCGTGTGCTCTGCGAGGAGGAGCGAGGGTAGGAGCTCAGTGTGTGCGGGAGGCAGAGTCTGCAGCTCAGTTCCTGTTGTTTTCTAAAAGCTTTGATTAGGTGGGTTCCGGAGTGAGTGTCTGAGTAGCTCTGGAAAACAAGCTCTGATTTTCCCCCTGCTCGGCAAGGGGGAAATCTAACTAGTAACTAGTAAAAGAATGTGTTTTAAACAAAACATGTGCCAGAGACCTTGGCTTCCCCTCAATCTTTCTGAAGGCTTGAGTCTGTTAAAAGCATCATCTGTATGTGCTGAAGATGCACCAAGGCTTATGTTGCAGAGTTGCTCAGATTGCCGAGCAGATGGGCTCCAACATGTCTGATTTTTGCCAGCCCTGGCCATGTTTTGACAACACCACCATATTTTTGTGTTGTGGGATTTTTAGTGGCATAAACACTCCTGTTTTTGCCACCAGTGCCTTAAAAAGGAAGGTGCTTTCAAGCACTCATCTAAAATGCAGGACAAAAGAATGCAACACCTCTGGTGCTGGGGAGAGTGTAGGGTTGTAATGGTGCTGCCTGCTGGAAGCCCACTGGGGGCTGCTTTGTTCCGGATGTTGAAGCCAGGAGATAGATGTGACCAGCCCTTATGGCTCTCTCAGTTATGGTTCCTGTGAGTCTGAAGCTGCAATCCTTCTTCCTTGACTCAATTAGACCTTTTTCTCCTTGTTTAGTATATTCACAGCCAACCGTGTCTCCTCTTTTCCAGGGCGAGGGTGTTGTGAAGGAAATCAACATCACGCACCATGTGAAGGAGGGCTCTGAGAAGGCTGACCCTTCCCAGTTTGAGCTTCTGAAGGTTCTGGGACAGGGCTCTTTTGGCAAGGTGAGCTCAATCCTTCCTGTGTGTCACGCAGATAAGTGGTGTTGAAAGAAGAGCTGACAAAGGGACTGTCCCCAGCATAACCTCTTTCTTGATTCTCGCCGGATCGCAGACGGTGAGAATCTGATACGCTCACTTAGCAACTGGCCACTTCTAATTTGAAGGGCAGCTGTGGAAGTGCCTCTCATCAAAGTCTGTGTGTCAGCACTGCCTGGGGGTCTTTATGCAGCTGGTCAGGAGGAAAGAAGCGTGCAGTACAGTGCTGTGTGGGGCACAGGGCTGGGGCATGCCTCTCATCTCACGGTGATGCTGTGTGCCAGGGACTGGGTTTGGCCCATTTGCTGTTTCCCTTCTGCAAAGGGGGAAGGAAGTAGCTTGTAATATGTATCTGTTTCAAAGTGCACATAACCCAGGTCTCTTGCAGACCATCTGCTCTCATGTTAAAACTTCAACTTCACATCAGTCAGCCACCAGCACAGCAAGGGCTAGTGCAGCAGTGGTGCTGTGCATGTGCAGCAACAGCTTTGTTGCAATGAATAGAGGATTTTGAAACTGTCTAAAACCATGTGTTCTTCTGCCCCAGGTTTTCTTGGTGAGAAAAATAACACCACCAGACAGCAACCACCTCTATGCCATGAAAGTGCTCAAAAAGGCAACACTGAAAGGTAGGGGAGCCTTACTGCAGAGTCCTGTTGCTCCATTGGAAATTGCACTGGGAAAATGTCACCACCAGTCACTGCTGGCCCTGGGGTGATGGAGATTGGAAAGATCTGTCTCCAGCTGCTGATCGCAGAATGCTTAGGGTTAGGCGTGAGGCTGACATCAGGGCTCTTTGCTTTCTCCAGCGTCTGAACTGTTCCTCTCTCTTTGCACAGTGCGTGATCGTGTAAGAACAAAGATAGAAAGGGACATCCTAGCTGATGTAAACCATCCCTTCGTGGTGAAGCTGCACTACGGTGAGTACGGGGCTGGCTGGGACAGGGGTGCCTGCCAGTGTCCCCAGCAGGTTGTATGTCAGTCCATGTCCCTCAGTGGCTGTGCTGTGCTGGAGCCTTCACAATCCCCTTAAGACAAATCCTTTCCTGGAAAGGCCTTTGGTCTTGTGTTCACCCTTGAATGGGGCACCAGGAGAAGTTTAAACATCAAATCCTTGGGATTAAAACATTACTTCAGGAGAAAGCAGAGTTAACTGGTCAAGTCAGAGCATGGCAGGATGCCATGAGGGCATCTCATCTGACTCTGAGGGAGTTGAGGACAGCTTCTGCCCCCAGTATATTGCTTGAGAAACAGCCCCTCCAGCAGGGCATCAGTGGCTGAAAGGGAACAAATCCCACATAAAATGATGCTTTTCTGCAGCGCCAGGGGATTGCGTCCTTTTCAGTATCATGGCTAAGAGATCTGATCTACCTCAAATAGTTACCCTACTTGTATTTAACCTAGTAACAACTCAGGGCATTTACACAACTGAAGCCATTGGGATTTAAGTGATTAATGTCATACCATCGAGCTTTCCCCTCAGTGGAGGGGTCTGATTCCTGCTCTGGCTTGTGTTTCAGCATTCCAGACAGAGGGGAAGCTGTATCTCATCTTGGATTTCCTCCGAGGAGGTGACCTTTTCACTCGGCTTTCCAAAGAGGTGGGTATACTTTGGCATCTTAGTGGGTTGCTGAGGCTCTCAGTTTGTGTGTTAATTGCCTGGAGGAACAACTGACCCTCAGAAAGTCCTTGACAGAGTTGGAAGGAGCTTCCAACTTGCTGTCCAAAGGAGGGAATGTCAGGAGCCCTGTCCCCTGGCAAAGCCTGGGAAGCTTAGTTTTAAAATGGCATGAGTGAGCAACATGAGTGTGAAGGGTGTTGCTTGTCATGCTCCAAGGATTATAACCCCCGTCTCTTCCTGCAGGTCATGTTCACAGAGGAGGATGTGAAGTTTTACCTAGCAGAGCTTGCTCTGGGACTTGACCATTTGCACAGCCTGGGAATCATATACAGAGACCTCAAACCAGAGAAGTACGTGTGGTACAGGTCTGTGTTCAGTCCTCAGCCTGCAGTCAGAGCACAGCACAACCTTCTTCCACAAAACAATGCCTTGGGCCAAGCAAATGGAAGGCAGCAGGGCAGATCAGTAAGGCTCTTGCTCCTCACACCAGCAGTTAGAGCCAGGGGCTCTGTGGAGGCAGCATGTGTGTACCATGTCTGAGCATTAATTCTCAGCCAGTGCTGGGCTCCAGCTTTAAGCAACTGAGAGCCTTCAGAGGAAAAAGGCCTCTGAGGAGACACAGCAGCTGCACAACTGGGTTATTCCTACCTGAGACATGCGAGGGATCAAAGTTGATGTAATCTGTGTGGCTCATTGGTTCAATGTGAAGTTCAGTGTGTACAGAAGGGGGTTGCTTTACCCCATTTATGGTGATGGAGCTTGAAATACAGGGGTTGGAAGGATGGATACGTTCCTCCTCTGGAGTCCTGGAGCATCTCTGACCGCTCTGAGACACCCGCTGGTTCTCACCTTTCTTGCCTTTCTTGCCACTAATAACTTGTATTTTTCTTCCTTGCTGTAGCATTCTCCTGGATGAAGAAGGGCACATCAAGCTCACAGGTGAGGTGCTCCATAAGAACCTTGGTTCTTGAAACATGGAGCTTCTCTCAGACCTCCCTGCTCTGGGCTGTTGTGAAGAGCAGGTGGGCACACACTGATGCTTTTTCTCTTTCGTAGATTTTGGCTTGAGTAAGGAGGCAATAGACCATGAAAAGAAAGCCTACTCCTTCTGCGGGACAGTGGAATATATGGCCCCAGAGGTTGTGAACCGTCAGGGCCACTCCCACAGCGCAGACTGGTGGTCCTATGGGGTGCTGATGGTGCGTAACCGGTGGGCTTGGAAACCTCAGCAGTTGCTCAGGGTGTAGCTATGAAATACCATTAGGTGACTCTGCATCCAGCAGAGGTGCTGGTGCCAGTGTTGGCCCTGGAGCAGGCTGTTGGTTGCTGTGCAGATCTGGTGCCACCATCTGGCAGCTGCTGGATCCAAGAGCTATGGCAGGAGCAGGCACTGCTGGAACACATCCCCATTACACTGTGATACAAAGCTCCCTTCTGAGAATGTGATGCCAGCTCTCTTTTTCCAGAGCCAGGCTTTTGATTGCTTGCAAGGCTTCTGCTAGCTGTGGAGAATTCCCAAATCAAGATGTAATGAGATCTGTGCAGTCCTCAGACTTGCTCGGATATGTGACCTCCCCTTGTTCTCTCTCCCTCCCAGTTTGAGATGCTCACTGGCTCACTGCCGTTCCAGGGGAAGGACCGCAAGGAAACGATGACCCTCATCCTTAAGTAAGAGGAGATTTGATGTGTGTACAGAGACAAGCCTGCTGCTCCTTCTCTAAGCATGCTGCAATTGGTGTTCACAATGTAATGGGATTACTTGGAAGGTAGATTCGTATCAACACTCAGTTTGAAGGGTTCAGTACAAAATGCCAAACAGATTGTTGTACTTTCAGAGGTGGAGGTGCTGCTTGTGGGTTGGCTTCTTTATACCTATATGCAATTGATTGCATAACTTCTTCCCTAGAGCAAAACTGGGCATGCCTCAGTTCCTGAGCGCTGAGGCACAGAGCCTCCTGCGAGCCCTCTTCAAAAGGAACCCAGCCAACAGATTAGGTAAGGCATTTTTTGTTTCTGAATCCACCTGGTGCTGTAGCTGTGCCTCTCACATCGCAGTGGGTTGGCAGCATGCTGGCACTTGTGCTAAGTTAATAGGCTCTCTGTAATACCTGATTATGTTGCATGCTTTGTGATAGCCTTCGCTTTGTTGGTGATCCTGATTAAATATTAAGCACTCTGTGGGTGCATCTTTCAGGTTCTGGTCCAGATGGGGCAGAAGAGATAAAGCGTCATCCGTTCTACTCTACTATTGATTGGAATGTGAGTATCAGAAACACAAATGCAAATTTCACCCCATTTAGCACAGTGATGCAGCTCTGCTGACCGCAGTGGTGATGCTTGCAGGCTGACCAGCTGTGGGAGTGCTACCAACCCATGTTTCCATCTTTCCTAATTATCCTTCCCGAAACTAAAGTGCTGTTTGTCATGCAAGTAACTGTTTCATACTGAGTTGTCTATGACCTCATCCTGGTTTGATCTCTCAGAATTAAGGTGCAGGTTTTAATTGGGTTTTGGCACAAGGATTGCCTTGCACAGAGTAGGAAAGGGCTCAGGGAGGCATTTCTGGCAAGGAGCTGCATTGTACTCCGCAGACTCTCTTTTTTTCTTCATTAATGTATGATATATGGTAGAAACTTACAGAATTTCTCCACCAACTGACCGAAAGGTACTCTCCTGGCCAGGAGGCCATCCCTCCAACTGCTGAGTTGCAGTCTCAACACTGTTTCTAGTGTTGTAAACTTTCTTCCCAGCCTCTCATTCCTAGCAGTTATGAGCACCCTTCTGATCATGGTCAACTATCACACCACTTCCATGCTACCCATATTTTGCAGAAGCTGTACCGAAGAGAAATCAAGCCGCCCTTCAAGCCTGCTGTAGGCCAGCCTGATGACACCTTTTATTTTGACACAGAATTTACATCGCGTACACCAAAAGGTTGGTATGAATTTATGAATTCAGCTGAAGCCTGTGTGAAATAATACAGCTTAATAATGGCTTGCCTGTGCCATCAGAGCAAGGTTTGCCTCCTCCTAGCTGCTTCAGGAAGGAGTCCCAGCCATATGCAGGATGTTATTGGGAGTTCGGTGCTGCATGATATTGCTCTTGTCTGAGCCACAGCCATGAGGGGAAGGCTTCTGCTTCTGCTGCTACTCCTTTTCAAGTTTTCCTTCAACTCCTGTTGCAGATTCCCCAGGCATCCCTCCCAGTGCAGGTGCACATCAGCTCTTCCGCGGCTTCAGCTTTGTGGCCACCGGACTGATGGAAGACAGCAAGGTGAAACCTGCACAGCCCCCTCTGCACTCCGTGGTGCAGGTGAGACATGGGAACAGAAGAACAGCTGCTCTGAGACTGCAGTAACTCCACAGTGGGTCTGCAGGAGCTAAAGGAAAGATATTCTGGTTTGAATCCTTGCACCCTAATGTTCTGTTGTTTCTACTGACTGTCACGTGCAGAGGTCAGCAGGGCACACTGAGTGTTTGCCTCCTTCTTGCCATGTGGACTCAGGCTGTGTCAGTGAAAGGTGCTGCAGGAATGCAGTGTGCTGCATGCAGATAGTGTTAGCCTACTGACCTATATTTGCCATGTTCTCCTTTCCTCTCTCTCCCCAGCAGGAAGGAGAGGCTGTGGGATGTAGCAGACAGCAGTCTGTCACTTCACTTGGCATCGCAGTTAACTCATCACGTTGCACAAAGCATTCCCTGAACCCTCCCAGCTCATTTGCTCCCTGCTCTCTTGTTGCAGCAGCTGCATGGAAAGAACATCCAGTTCAGCGATGGCTACGTGGTGAAGGAGGCGATTGGTGTGGGCTCCTACTCTGTGTGCAAACGGTGCATTCACAAAGCAACCAACATGGAGTATGCAGTCAAGGTCTGAGATGATGAGTTCAGTCTGATCTCCCTTGTTAGATTTCTGTTCATCCCTGTAATGATCAAATCAGTAGCAAGGAATGAAATCATTTTCCCTGATTTTGTGGGACTTATACAATTACACAATTTTGGGGCAAAAGACAGGGAATGGTTATAGCACAATATGTCTGCAGTGCACTGGCACAAGCTGCTCAGAGGAGCTGTGGATGCCCCATCCCGAGAGCTGCCCAAAGCCAGGCTGGTTGGGGCCTTACTGGATGGGGGGCAAGCCCACAGCAGAGGTTGGAACTGGATGGTTGTTACGATTTATCCCAGCAGGTGGCTGTGCACCGTACAATCTATTGCTTACTGGCCCCCTTCCCAGTGGGATGGGGAGAGAATTGGAAAAAAACCCCACCAAAGTAGAACTCATGAGTTGAGATGAAGTGATTTACTAAGATACAGAGAAGGATAATATATATGTGTGTGTGTGTGTGTGTGTATAAATATATGTAGCATGTGATGCACAAGCAATTGCTCACAACCTACCAACTGATGCCCAGCTTGCCACTCAGTGAGTGCAACAGAGCAAGATGAACTCCCACTCCCTTCAAAACTCTCATTCACATGATGGTATGAAATATCCCTTTGGCCAGTTTAAGACAGCTGATTAAGGCCTGATTCTGTCCCTTCCCAGCTCCTTGGGCCTCATCATCCCTTCTCCGAGAAACTGGAATGGACTTGGCAATACAATACTGCTCACCAACAACTGTAAACATTGGTGTGTTATCAACATTGTTTTTCTCTTAGAACCAAAACATTGCATCATACCAGCTACTCTGAAGAAAACAATTCTGTCCCAGCTGAAACTAAGACAATGGTCTTTAAGGTCTCCCTTCCAACTCAACCATTCTGTGCTTCTGTGATGAAGCCTTCAGCTTGTTTGCTTTGTCCTAGCCACTGTCCCATCCAGCTGTGAATAACCCTTACTTGTACCCCTGCAGGTTATTGACAAGAGCAAACGGGACCCTTCTGAGGAAATTGAGATCCTCCTGCGATACGGGCAACATCCAAACATCATTACCTTGAAAGATGTGAGTGTACCTTGAATGATTTCTCATGTACATTGGGGTGAGAAAGCCACTCTAGCATGGGTACCCCAATGGCACTGCTCATTAGATCACTCTGGGGTGGGGAAGCATCCAGTCAGTACCACCTCTCTGTTGTCGACTTCTTTCTTCTTGGTGGTAGAAATACAACGGGGAAGCCCAGGAAGCAGTTTTTAATTAACCCCCTCCACGTTTGCTTTGGTAGGTTTATGATGATGGGAAGTATGTGTATCTGGTGACAGAACTGATGAGAGGAGGGGAGCTGCTAGATAAAATCCTGAGACAGAAGTTCTTCTCAGAGAGGGAGGCCAGTTCAGTCCTACACACGATCTGCAAAACGGTGGAATATCTGCATTCTCAAGGGGTGAGTATGGTTACGTCTGCTTCCCTGGGTGCTTTGTATTGATGTTATGCCTCGTGTTGATGTTTTGGCAAGGCAGATAGGGGGCCAGAGCAGGGGCTGAGGATCTTGATGCAGCTTCAGTCCTTCTTGGGTCTTGAATGTAGCATTGCCTTTGTTCTGCAGGTAGTTCACAGGGACTTGAAACCCAGCAATATTCTCTATGTGGATGAGTCAGGAAACCCAGAAAGCATTCGTATATGTGACTTTGGCTTTGCCAAGCAGCTGAGAGCTGAGAATGGTCTTCTCATGACTCCTTGCTATACTGCAAACTTTGTGGCACCTGAGGTAAGCACCTTGCTGACTTGAGGCTTCAGTAGCTGTCATTCCTCTCCCCCAGGCTGTGTTCTAATTCTGCACGGATTGGTCTAATTGTGCCTGTTCCGGCATATTTTGTCTGGGATTTGTTAATTAAAAAAATTACATTAGCTACAGCACAGAATAAATACGGGATCCCCAGTGCAGTCCTCCAGCTTGTGCTGTCCATATTGCTGGGGCTCTGCATAGGGAAATGAGATGCTAAAATCCCAATGACTTCATAGGCTGCTTCTCTTCCTGATTAACTGGCCTGTTAAAAGGAGTGGGATTACTTTCCCTCCAGCTATCTTGGTGTGGAAGAAAGGAAAAGAGATGGAAAGCAGTGGAGCATATATGCAGTGTCATCACTTTGGAACACAGCTTCTTTCTTACTTGTCATTTTGAAGAGCTGGGATGGTTACTCTGTTCTGTGAAACTGAAGTCTGATATGAATGCTGACGTTTAGTCCATGCCTTTGCTGTTCAGTGGGGCTTTAGCAGCTTTGCACCCAGCCTGCACAGGGGGCTTATGCTGCTCTTCGCAAGCTGAAACAAGCTCAGCAACCAGAACCAAACATATTTCTTCTTTGCTTATTCCAGGTACTGAAGCGACAGGGTTACGATGAGGGCTGTGACATCTGGAGCCTGGGAGTTCTCCTTTATACTATGCTGGCAGGGTAAGTGCCTCTCCTCATGGCTTCTTGCTGCCCAGAACCTCTCCCTGGCCTGGATACAGGATAGTTAACATCGTTCTTGCTCTCATCTCTCCTCAGCTGTACTCCATTCGCAAACGGACCCAGTGACACTCCAGAAGAGATCCTGACTCGAATAGGCGGGGGAAAGTTCTCTGTCAATGGAGGCAACTGGGACACTGTTTCTGACATGGCCAAGGCACGATGTGGAGTCTGTCCGCATTGTATTGCAGTGTGGGCTCAGACAAATACGATGCAGGTTCAGAGCAGGTTGGGGAGGAGAGTAGAGGGGAGTGAATAAAAGCAGTAGAGTGGCTTCTTCCTCATGAGCAGCTCAGCACTGTGCCTTTGCCTGCTTTGTTCTAGCTCAGGCTGTGAAAATTTGCATGCAGCAACAACCTCGTGCCTGACTCACACTGGGTTTGTTGCTGTGTTATACCTCCCAGGCCCACTGAAAACATATTTTATACAAAAGGAGCTTGATATCTGGGGTCCTGACACTTGGCTTCTGAACTGAAATCTCAATATGGGAACAGGTGGCCGGCATTTTTTCTTTTAAAGTATGAAGTCTTCAGATGTCTGACTTTCCAAATGATTCCCTTAGGACCTGGTATCAAAGATGCTTCATGTAGATCCTCACCAGCGCCTGACAGCCAAGCAGGTCCTGCAGCACCCATGGATAACACAGAAGGACAGCTTACCCCAGAGCCAGCTGAATCACCAAGATGTCCAGCTGGTAAAGGTACAGAGTGGGCCGGGTTCCTTGTCCCTGAGCTCTTTGGAAAGCAGTCGTCCTGGTGTGGGCAGAACAGACTGGAAGGTTGTTGAGCTGTGGGCTGGGGAGACAATCCCAGTGTTTGAGGCAGGAAATCAAAGGGTTCTTTGAAGAACTGACTGGACAGCTAGGCCCAGAGAGTGATGGAGTTAGATCCAGCTGGCAGCAGTTACAGATGATGTTCCCCAGGGGTTGGTGCTGGGGCCAGCCCAGTTTAATATCTTTCATGATGATCTGGATGAGGGGATTGAGTGCACCCTCTGGAATTTTGAAGATGGCACCAAGTTAGGACAAAGTGTTAATCTGCCTGAGGGTAGGAAGGCTCTACAGATGGACCGGACAGGCTCCTTGATGGGCTGAGGCCAATGGGACGAAGTTCAGCAAGACTTTGGTCGCAGTAACCCCATGCCAGTGCTACAGGCTTGGAGCAGCATGGCAGGGAGTTGCAAGGAGGAAAAGGACCTGGGGTTGCTGTTCAGCCAAGTGTCAACTATGAGCCAGTGGAGTGCCCAGGTGGTCAAGAAGGCCAATGGCATCTTGGCTGTGTCAGCAGTAGTGCAGCCAGAAAGAGCAGGGGTTGATCGTCCCTCTGTACTCGATGCTGGTGACGCAGCACCCCAAGTTCTGTGTTCAGTTTTGGGCCCCCTTTACAGGAAAGACATCAAGGCCCCGGAGCATGTCCAGAGAAGGAAATGGATTTGTGAGGGATCAGGAGCACAGTGCTATAGAGAGCAGCTGAAGGAACTGGGATGGTTCTATCTGGAGAAGAGGAGGCTCAGGGAGACGACATCACTCTCTACAATTCCCTGAAAGGAGGTTGTAATGAGATGGGAGTCAACCTCTGCTATCAGGTAGCAGAGATAGGATGAGAGGTGATGGCTTCAAGGTGTTCCAGAAGAGGATCAGATTTAATATTTGGAAAAATGTCAGAAAGAGTGGTAATACATTGGAAGAAGCTGCCCAGGGAGGTGATGGAGTCATCATCCCTAAAGGTGTTTGGAAAACATGCAGATGTGGCACTAACGGACATGGTCAGTGGGCATGGTGGGAATGGGCTGGGGTTGGACTTGGGGATCTAGAGGTCTTTTCCAAATCTCACTGATTCTATTATTCTATGAGTGGCATGTCAATGAGGGATGGAGATTTAAAGAAAAGAAACAACATGGTCCTGGCTTTGTTTATGGCAGCTCTGCTCCCTCCCCTTGTAAAGCATCTCCTGCACCTGAGTGATCACTCTTCTGTCTTCTCTCCAAGGGGGCAATGGCTGCCACATACTCTGCACTGAACAGCTCTAAGCCGAGCCCCCAGCTGAAGCCCATCGAGTCTTCCATCCTGGCGCAGCGGCGGGTGAAGAAGCTCCCCTCCACCACCCTGTGAGGATGGGGTAGTGTGGGGTGGTTACACCAGACTTTGCACAACTACTGAGGTGTGGCAGGACATAGGGCAGTTGGTGCCTGCCCCTTGAGGACTTGTTCTCAAATCCACGTCAAGGCCAAGTGCCTTCTGCCTGCAGTAGACTGGCTCCTCCTTGTGTGGACTGATCTTTGCTGAGAGAACTTCACTGTAAAACTTTTTTGAAGTGTAAATTGTTGATTTTTAAAGACATCCATCTGTGTATATGAGAATTAGAATGTATAACTGATGTCAAGTGGCACTAAAAAGGAGCTCTGATTCACCCTTTCCCATGTAGGGCCAGATATTTCAAATAAGGTAGGGATCATCTCGAGAGAGTCCAGCAGAGGGCCACAAAGATGATTAAGGGCCTGGAGCCCAGAACTGGTCGTGGTATTCCGGTTGTTGCCTCTCCAGGACAGAGCAGAGGGGCAGGATCACCTCCCTCGTCCTGCTAGTCACACTTTTTTAAATTCACGCCAGGTTACCATTGGCCTTCTTTGGCCACCAGGGCACACAGATCTACGGAGCTGTGTAATTTGCCCTGTGACAGGCAAACTAGCAGTACTGTAGCAGGGCTGCATATCAGGCCACCTCCTCTCAGGTGTATTACACCACTTTGCAGTGTGAAATAATGAGACCTAGTTAGGACAAGGCAGGAATCAACAGGAAGGATGGCAGGATGTGGGCTGTGGGGGGAACTCCTTCTCTCAGGGCATTTTAGTGTTAATCGAAACCAACGCTTTGAGGTGAACTGTGCTAGAAGTAAATCCCAGACCCAGTCTCACCTGCAGGCCAGTGCTGGAGCTGCCCCAGTGCTGGCAGATCAGAATCACAGAGGCTGCGGATGCACGAGGGTGTGACTGAAGTCAGCAAAAGTCCTTGTGCAAATTTCTGCTACGGGCAAGTTTTGATTATTAGTTCCCAATCAACCAAGTGCTGTTACTTTTTTAATTCCAGTGCTCAATAAAAAAGGACGTGTTGATCTCTGTGTATGAGAGCTGTGGGAATCTGTGTGGCCAGGCAGCCTCTTGCTGCCTTCGTGGTTTTCTCTGACAGCATTAAACCTTTCCCAGGATATAGAGGGATTAATTGCTATCATTTGAATGGAGGTCACATTACAAGGAGTGAAAGTGGGGCTCCTTCAACCTGCTGTCCCATAGGGCCGTAGGAAAGCTTTGGCAAGCTGAAATCTGGTATCCAGCTTCTAAGTCTACCTGGAATTCCAGTCTACCTGGAATTATTCAGCTGTGCCAAGGCACTGTGTTTACCTGCAGCTAAGCGGCCTGGAGATAGCAGTAAGCATCTCTCTCTGTGTAGATGCAGCTTCTGTGTAGGAAAGGCTGAGCTTTCCCATTTGGGAGCATAAATCAGCAATGTTTTCTGTTGTAGAAGGGCTGACCCAGCCGAGAGACTGTTTTCCTTCTTCCCACTGTGTAAAGCAGCCATGCCTTCCTCTTAATGATGTGGTTCTGACCTGTCAAATTAAATGGAGCATAAATAAATGCAGTTTGGCCTGGTAGCTGTTCCCACCAAGAGTTCTTGGGCTGTTTGGAAACTGAAGTCTGGCAACTCTCTAAGCAATCATCCTTTTTCCTTAGTGAAATGCAGCACAGCTCCATGCACCCTCTTTGTATCAGTTCATGCAGTTTTAACTTCTTCCTGCAGATTTGCCACCAGTCACTGACTGGCTGGGATGAGCCCAGGATGGGTTGGCCTCAGGGTGCGACCAGCCCCCAGCTGGGCTTCACAATGCTCTGGGATTGTGGGCACACGCCAGGATGTGGGTCATGTGCTGTGCTTTCATGTAATATTCAACAATTTAATCCCCCTTTGAAAGCAAAGACAACATTTTAAACATATCAACATCTTTTTCAAGTACAGGGGGAGGCAATGAATAAAACCTTCATTCACGCTATGGAGGCTGGAGGTCTACTGCCACTCCGTTTTCTTGCTCTGGTTATTAACACATCAAGCTGTCTCACCACTCAGCACAGCTCACTTGCTGCCTTTCTCCTTTGTGCGGTGCCAGAACACCTGCCATTAATACTAATTCTGCTCTGGAGAGAAACTCCCTTTCAGATATGCTTGTCTGAAAATAAATTGACATGTAAAAGGTCTCTTGTTGGGAAGTGCATGTAAAATGCTGGAGTAAGTAGCCGATCGCTTACAAAAGGAGCCACTGACTCTTAAAAGGATGCATGTGAAGGGGGTTATAAATGTTAAATATGGGGGTGATGTTGTAAATGGGCCAGCAACTCGAGAAGGATCACATAGCTGCATTCTCTGTTTGGTATTAGACTTGAATTGGGGTGAAGAATTGGGGTGTTGTTTTTTTTTTCATCTGAATCTGTGGCAGTAGAAGCACTGCATTGACTCTGGGTGAAGCCACTTAGAGCGCATTTGGAGTAAACTCCTTTTTTTGGAAAAAGCACTGTGCAACAAAAACTGAGAGTGTTGGTGATGAGAACTTTGATTCGGACATTTAATGAGGTCCAAGGTGCTCTTCTTTTTCCTGGTACAAAAATTGTATTGCTTTCAGTTAGGAAGCAACAAAAGAATCCTTGGTTGGAGCATTTGTTCCATCACACAGCAGCAGCATGAGACAGTAAGAGGTAAATATTGGTATTTTTGAAAAAATAAAGATTTTCTTTGAGTTCCCCACACCCTGCGGAGCCTGTGTCTCTCTCTTAAAAAAACATCTGTAAGTTCTTGTAATGTCCCTTCCAACTCAAACACTTTTATGCTTCTATGATTCTTTGTGTCAGGTTTGGCAGTGGGAGAATGGTGGGGTCTGGCTCTCAGCTGCTGCTCACTGGTCCCTGGGTCCCCAACAAATTATTCACTCCCTAATTAGGAACAAGCTGAAATATGTTTGGGGTTGAAGGAACAAAAGTGGAATGTGCCAATTACACCAACCCACCAACCCTTCTAGATGAGCTGGCGTTACTTCTGGCTTATCAAGAGAGCACAGACTCTGTGATGGTATCTCCAATGCTGTCTTGTTTTTAAACAGCAGATGGTGTTAGAAACCTGTAGCAGGTGGAACGTCTTCGGCGTGATGGGAGAGATCAGAAGTGGCAGCGCTTCCTCATTTCCCAAGATGATAACTGTGTGCTGCCCATCGGCAGGGAGATTTATTGCAGAGGGAAAAACTTTGCAGTCATGTTCATATGGAAGAAAGCAATTCTAGTTGACATTCTAGTTATAATAAAAGGAGCTTGGTAATGTTCTTCATGATGCTCTGTTAGCACCTGTAGAAGAAAGCTGCTGGAGTGTGTTGTGCTCACTGTGTGCTTCAAACCCTGCTCCACTCTTCTACTGCCTATTGCTTTCCTTATATGATAATAGCGCTTCACAAGCTTAAAGTGTTTTATAAACATTTAATTACTGTTGCATTTGACTCAAAGCCAGGAATCTCTCATTCATCTGCATCTTGCAAGGTCTGTGAAAATGATATTCAAATTACGGAATTACAAGGGCTGAGTTCAGACTTCACTTACAGGAGCCTCTGCCAGCACAGATTTGTGAGCATCATTTCTAGAGCTGCAAGGCAGATCCCTTCCTCCTCTGCCTGAAGTCGTCGGAGAATTATTTTGTTAATGATTATTTGCTAAATGTCGCTCTCTTCCTGCTCACCACTCCTAGGGCTTCTCCACTCCGATTTCTACAGGCAGACCCTGAGTGCTCCATACCTGTGGGTGCCCTCTGTTCTCTGCATGGCACAGGTAAGATTTTTCCAGAAAATGGCACAGTGTTTGTTTCTATCAGGACAACGCCCTGCGTGAGGATGTGCCATGGGCTGGTAATTCTGGTTTTCTGCATGGAGCGCAGCGGCGGTGCCTCCTCAGCCTCTATGCCTCATCCCTCTGTGAAGCACAGATTTCAATAACTTGGTACAGCTCAAATTCATATTTGAAGGGTCTCCTTGAGGAGAAAGGATACTCCCTGATAAATCAGAGGGGGAATACCCAGTCTGGCAGTGCCCAGATGTACAAGAAGAAATAAAGAGGATTTAAAATTACTTTGCCATCATTCAGCTGCAGGGCCTTATGTGCAACTTGCATGAAACAAAAACACTTTTTATGCAACGCATGCAATAAAAGACATTTTTGAGAGTTCTTTGGGGATTGTTTGTAGTTTTTTTAGGAACAACCCCATCAACTCTACCACAGCTCTACCCCTGCCTGAGATGTTTACAGGGCACAGCAGGACCCCAGGGTGCATTCCAGCCCTTTCTCACCCAGGACACCTGCTCCATCCCTCCCAGCTGTCTGTCTGCCTCATTTATGTCAATTAGGGATTTAATGCTGCCTGATTTAATTGGCCTGACTTTCCCCTCTTGTAGCAGCCCCATGGGCTGGGATGAGCACATTCTGGCTAGGACTATGCAGAGCACAATGACCTGCTTGTTGGCACTGGCTGCTGTAGGAAGGTTGCTGACTTCCTGCAATTCTGGGATTCACGTGATGAATGTCACTGTGGTATTTCTGAGGGTTTAGAGAACCTGTGCAGGCTAAGCTCCCTAAGCTGGCATCCTCTCATCAAAGCTTCCACCTTCTGCAGATGGAGGTCTCCAAGAGCTGTGTATTGGGCCTTTATGGGCAGGGCCAGCCTGACTACATTTCCCCTTCAGGAAGCAGAGCAGCCAGAGTGAAGCTCCTTTGCCATTCTTCCAACCACGGAATTACAGGAGCAGAACTGAGCTCCTGCCTCCCTCAGCTCCTTCCTTGTGTTTGCCTGATGAGTTATGAGGCCTTTCTTCATCTCTTAGCAGAAATGCGGGTTCCTCAAGCAGCCAGTCCACAGAGGCATAAATATTAAACAGCAACAGTACCATCTAGTGACTCTGACTTACGGAGCATCTTCTAAGAAGGGGATGAGGAGATCAGTGGGCTGAGGAGCCCAGGAGTGGCTCTAGCCTTGCATGTGCGTTATCTCTGGGTTCATTTGGGTTTAGGGAACCATCTGGGCAGCAAAGCAAAACAACACTTCCTTGGGAGACGATCCCCGCTTTGGCCTCTTGACTCCCCGCTGAACCCAGCCTGACCCACGCTCCCTCTGCTGGTAATGAACCAATTTACTTAATGTGTTCACAACTTCACCCACAAGCACAGCTGCAAATCCAGGCAGATGCGTGAGATGGAAATTTGAGCTGCAGCTCAAATTTTTGGTCCTGATGAACCAGTTCTGATGAGGCAGGAGTGAAATCTGGAACTGGACACACAAAATAAATAGACACAGTTCAATGATTGCATCAAAACCAGGCCTAAAATCAAGCATAAAGGGCACATGAGCTCAAAAGACCCACTCCAAGCAGATCTGAAATTACATACTCTCCTTCACAGCTGAAGGGAGGAAATCAAATTAGAGCATTTCTCCATCAGAGCACATTAGCCTCTGTGCAGCTTGTTATGCTTCACCAGCGCTGCGCGAGCTCTGGAGCTCTCTCCCTGCACTCTGCCACACAGCCGCAGCACTGCCGCGTTGGCAGAGGCTCTGGGATTCTTTGCAACACGTGTGTGTTGCCTCCTTCCCATCAAAGAGACAGTTACCACATGCACAAAAATGCAGTGTTCCTGAACTTGAATGCTAAGACACGATGGCAAGTCCTAACTGCCATTGGAATTTGTGTAAGAAATTGTTCTGCCATCTAATCTACTGTGTCCCTTCTTTGCTACCAGGAGCGCAGTGCTGCCCTATGTCCACTCACTTGTGGGCTGCCAATTTTCTGGTTTCAAATTAAATAGAAAACTAAATTAGCAAATTAATTGTTTGCCGTGTTTTTCCTTCGTCCCCATCAGCTGCCTGAGCCAATCCCATTCCCTGCACAGCAGTCCTGAGCAGGAGGTGGAGTTCTACTCCGGTCCTGCTATCTACAAAGTGTCAGTCATATTAATTTTAAATTACTTTTGTACAGCTTGGTGTCAAAACGATTAAAGCATGAAAAGAAAAAACTGAACTAGAGAGAGAGAACGGGGGGTGAGAGAGAATGAATAATTTACCTTGCATTTACAGCAAGGACATTTATATTTCTTTAACTCCACAACTCTGAGAAGCTGAAACTTTATATTTCCTTGGCTGTGACCTGCACACGACTATGCTGTGCTCTGGATCCTCGCTGTCCGCAATAATCATTTGCAGCACAAAGGTGTGCCATGATCTGAGTTTGTCCCAGGCAAGGTTTGCTCAGCTCTGCTCTCACCATTCATTGTCACTGCCACCACTCACCTGCAGACCTCTTCTTCCCCACGGCTCTGCAATCGGCTGGGCTCACCCCACAGCCGGTACACGCTGCGCTGCCGCTACACATCTCTGTGCCGCATGGTGTGCCCTGCAGTGAGGAGCCAGGGAAGAGGAAAGGGCCTCAGCTGCAGCAAATGGGAGCAAACAATGCCACCTCCTTTTGACTCCCCCAGGTTTGTGCTGTCTACACCCAGAGCATGGAAACTGTGTGGTTTTGCACGTTTTAGGAGCTGTGACTGGGCTGCAGTATTGCATGGGATTTCACTTCAGCGTGCAAACACAAAAATGCTTCTTTCATTAATAGTGGGATTCCCTTCCCATGCTAATGTTGCTTCAGCTGCTGACTCACAAATAAATCATTTAACTGACTTTCCCATTTGGGAAGCTCCTTTAATTCCCCTCATCCTCTGCCAGAGGCCTAGTGGGAGGCTCGAGAGCTGACGAGCAGAGCTTCCTGCTCAGCGGTTCAGTGACGTCACCCAGCCGTGTTCCAGGGGAGCACTGCCATCGCTGGTACCCGCAGCTTCCCCTGCTCAGCGCATGCAGCGGGGGAGCAGCAGCCTTCTGCTTTGCTGGATGCTGCCAGTTCAGGTCCAGAGCGATCTTTGCTCACCCATAAAAATGTAAGCCTGAACATTAGGAATACAGGTATGAAAATTGTATCATCTTTTCCTTTCTTTTCTTTTTTTTTTTTTTTTTTTTTACTTAATCAGGTGATTCTGTGATTCTACCTAGTGCTGAAAGCTAACATGACAGCAGGAGAGGGATTCATATTGCATCTATTATCAATAGTGCTTTTACATCTACTACTTCTAAGCAAAGCCTTTACCTCTCAGCTGTGAAACAGTTCCAAACCCTAAGCTGTCTGCTGGCCAAGCCGTCAGCATCATTAATTGAACAAACTTCAGCCAGAATCATTGGTTTATACTTAATGACAGAGCCTGAACCTTTGCCAGCAGCACCTTCCCACTGCATGGGCACGCTGAGGGCTGCTCTGTTGGGCTACAGGCATGAGTGGCTTCATGAAACAGCCCTCAGGAACCACCAGAACCACTCAGACCACAAATATTAGCATGGTCCATACTGTTTCTATAAAAACAAAAAGAGAAGCAATAACTTACACCAGAGCACAAAAAAGAGGATGTTTAGAATAAAGCATTTTTCCTTGATTAAGACCTCACAAAATCCAGGAGACGTGGGTTTTATTTTTCTCTTTTCCAGTACTTGTATTTATTCAGTTGGACACTACAAATTTCTGTACTTCATTTTGATGTGTTTGGTTTTTTTAGGCTTTTGACAATCCTCCCATGATAAAGTATCTACCAAGCAACACAAAGCTTTTCAGTCCAGACCCCTCAATCAATTCTTTGCTAGCAGACTTTATCCCCCTGAAGTATCTAGGAAGATTTACTCTAACGGGACATGCAAACAAAGTGACATTTTCCAATCTCCTGCTAGCTAAACAGAGAATGGCAATTTCTCAAACATAACCAGCACCAGAATCTGGTGTGCTATTTGCTTTTCAGCAGTGGCTGTTGGCCTTCCCCAGGGCCTGCTTTTTTTACTGAGGGGCAAAAGGATCTGGAAGCAATTTATTCCCAGAAAAAGGTTTTTTTGGGGAATTTGATTTTAATTTGCTGACTTGAGCAGCCCATGTGCAAATCCGAAGGTCTGCTGATGAATAACCAGCAAGCAATGTTTTAATATTTTGATGGCAGAAGCGGTACAAGGCTGACAGAAGAAAAACAGATATCTACAAAACATTCTGAATTGACTAGAGTACAGAGACCAAAATAATGAAAGTGTCACAAAGAAAGCAACCAAAAGCTAGATGACCTGAGGCCTAAAGCAGAGAACAGATCATCTGTAATTGGTCAGGATTGGAGGAGTTCAGAGTCATTGGACATCCTCTCTCTGTCCTAAAGATTCCCAAGACCAGGAAACCCATCTCCCTGCACCACGAAGGTTGAGGCTGACCAATAAACGAGACAGAACTTCACGAGACCCACAGATCAGGGACACAAGGTTGAAAACCCTTCACCCTAGATTTACATTTGGATCTTATGAAGCCACATACAAATTTTAGGAACGGCAATAAGGAAATGGAAGCTCATGAAAGGCGTGGGATATTGGGAATCGGGATATCTCTATGGAAATGCTTGATGGTTAACAGGATTTACGGGCACCTACTTACTGTCATTAATCTTTTTCTCTCACATCATTCTATTACACATCACCTGCTTTTCCTGAGTGCAGCCCCAATGCTGATGGAGCCACGGATTCAGTGCAGGAATGGTTCTTATGTCTGAGTAACCCACAGCCCCGTGTCAAGGCAGAGCAGGAAGAGGAGAATAGTATCATTAAGGTCAGAAAGACCACTAAGATCATCAAGTCCAGCCACCAACCAAGACAATGTCTCTCAGTGCCACATCCACCCTTTTCATGAACACCTCTATGGATGATGACTGCACCTCCTCCTCCCCAGGCAGCCTGTTCCAATGTATTACCATTCTTTCTGAAAATATGTTTTTTCTAATATCCGAACTGAACCTCCCCGGTGCAACTTAAGGCCACTACCTCAAGCCCTATTGCTGTTATCTGAAGACCGGCTGACCCCACTTTTGCCACAACCTCTCTTCAGGTAGCTGTAGAGAGTGATGCAGTCTCCCCTGATCCTCCTCCTCCCCACATGGAACCATCCCATCTCCCTCAGCCTCTCCCCACAGCACTGTGCTCCAGAGCCCTCACAGCTCCGTTCCTTTCTCTGGACGCACTCCAGGGTCTTTCTTGTAGTGAGGGGCCCAGCACTGAGCACAGCACTGAGGTGCCATGCAGAGGGATGGACGCCTCCTGCTCCTGCTGGCTGCACCGCCGCTGCTGACACAACCAGGATGTCGTTGGGCTCCTCGTCCCCCTGGGCACCCTGCTGGCTCATGTTCAGCAGTTACCAGGATCCTGCTCCTCCACACCGCTCTCGGCTGCTCTGCCCCACGCCTGCAGCACTGTAGGTGCACAGCAGCACTGGGGCTGTTGTGGTCGTAGTGCCGGACCGGACACTTGCGCTTGTTCAAGCTCATCCCACTGGCTTCAGCCCGGCCAGCCTGCCCATGTCCCTCCCCAGCACTCTCTCCCACCTCCTCTTTCCCTCCCATTTTCCCACTCGGCAGCCAGAGGGCAGCAGAGGGAGGGATTTCACTTTTTTTTTTTTTTTTTTTTTTTTTGTTCTCAGCCCTTTGCAGCCAGAGCTTCGCAGCCCGAGCCCGGCCGTGCTGGGCAGTCCCGTACCGTATTTCCATTTACAAACTCCGCTCCCCTCCTCCCGAGCGGTAACTCCACGGCCTCGGGAAGGGCTCTCTGAGGGGCTCTCCCTCATGGCGGGGTTCCGTGCGTAATGAGGGGAAAAGGGCCCCCTCGAAGGTGGAGGAGGGTGTCTGTAGAGTTCATCCCTCACTTTCCACAAAGGGAAATGGCGCTGGGGGCCGCCCCGGCTCTGTGCGCGCCTCATGGGCGCGGCGGTGAAGAGGGAGCGCCCCCCCGCTAGCAGCCGGCCTGGGACTCTTTCTCTGCCGCTCCCCCCCCCCCCCCTCCTCCGCCTGAGCGGGAGTTTCCAGGAAGCGCTGAGGGGAGCCGCAGCACCGCTCAGCTCTCGCACAGCGCGCCCCTTCCGCCGAAGCCGTGGCAGGAACGCGAAGTAGTCCCGGCACCTCTCTGCTCTCAACCGCTATAAAGTGCCGTCCCGCTCTGCTCTCGCAGAAGATTATTACAGAAGCGGAGGGAGAGAAGCGTTTATCCCTTCTTCTCATCCCGTGGATTTGCGCGGAAAAAGTGAGAAAGTAGGAGAAGGGGGGGAGGGGGAAGGGAGATTAGAAAAAAAGCGCCGGCTGCGGCGGAGGGATCCACAGGCGCGGAGAGTGAGGCGGCTGCAGGGCGCTGTGCGCGAGGGAGGGGTGAGCGGGAAAATGCGGTGCGGAGCCGGGAAGTGCGCCCCAACTCCTGCCCGGGGGAGCGGCGCTGAGGGGCGGTCGCCGTCTCCCCCTTCTCAAGCGGACGGGGCAGCCGCAAAAGGCTAAGTTTAGGGAAGAGATTTTCCCCCGCCTCGAGGTGGAGGGCCTGGGGTCGCGGCTCGGCCCCGCCCGACGGGACGCGGCCCGTGGCGGCAGGTGAGCGGCCCCGGAGCGGTCCTCCACCTCCTGCCCCGCCGCCCCGTGTGCGAGGCGCCCCGTTTCCATCAGCGCTTGCGGCCCCGCCCGCCCCGCCGTTGGGTCCCGCCGTGGCTCGGTGGCGGCGCGAGGGAAGTTCGGCCCGGAACTCCCCGCTGTCGGGTTTGGTCGGGCCCCGCCGAGCTCCGCACCGTCCCGTTACCCCCGTTACCGCCCCCCGGCCCCGCGAGCCTTGGAGCGGACAAAAACCAAGCGCAGCCCCGCCGGGCGCAAGGCGGCACCACGAGGGCTGCGCCGATCGCCGGGCCTCGCGCTGCTCTCCCCACCCCCTCCGCAGCCCCATCCCCCACTGCAGCTCCCACAGCCGCCTCTCCCTCCCATTAACGCTGAAAGGGGAGGACGGCGGCTCTGATGGGTTTTTCTCAGGCTGTTTTCTCCCCCCTACCAACCGATACCGGCCCTGCAGAAGTGCAGAGCGCGCATCTGGCTCTGAGCGCGTCGGCTGAATGCCTGCTTTCCTCTGAGCCGATTCCCCTTGTTTTGCTTGTTCATTATAAGGGCTTGTCAGCGTGCTTTTTATAAACGTGTGATCTCTCCTTTTAGAAGCATCTGCGCTTTAAGAATAAGGTTTTGTCTTCTATCGTCGTTCTTGATAATAACCACTTCAAGTGTTCCATTTTTGTCCGTAAAGTTCTATTTTATTGCCTTTTGTGAATCAGTGGAGGTCAGTTTAACCCTTCACGTATGAAAATCGGTGGTCACTGTACAAAAAGGTTGATTTATTCTTCACTGATTTATGTTTATGATCACATTTCATTGAGTGAGAGTTGTTTTTTTTTCCCCCCAGATAAGTCCTGATGCGTGCTGGAAGAAGTGTGTGCTTCAGCACTGATTAAAGTCATGTATGAGTTAATGAGAAGCTTGCAGAGTATGTGAAGCAAGAGAAAATCTTTAACCAGCTCTGCTGTTCCTCGTACATAGCACAAACTTGTAAGCTGTAACCAGAAGGTGGATTGGATGTGTGAAATGCTGCAGTAGGAGACTCCTGTAATTGCATCACAGGTGGATGCTCACTCAATTAATGTTAGCATCTTCACAATACATGAAAGTTGGTGGTTTGGTTTTTTGTTTTTCTCAAATGTTTGTAAGGTGGCATATTTCAAAATATACTTAAATCCTTGGATGAAGGACGCTACAAACCTACAAAGCAGTATTTTCTGGCTTGGTTTTTCATTTTAAACAATGCCTTTGTTTGTTGGGATGTTGTTCTGGTGCTTTTTTTATTTTTTTTCCCTATGCTAACTGCTTCCTGGATGAATAAATCGGTCATACATAAGAGACTCTCAGGTGGTGGAGGAACACAGTGCTGTAATATCAACATTCTAGTTGTGGGACTTCTAATTTAAGAAACACATTGCCAGAAGAAATAAGATCAAGGCTGAATCTTGCTTGCATTTTGGTCCAAATGTAAGATCCCCTTCCTAAGCAGTCCCCAATGAACACGGAGGGCAATTAAGTAAAAATAAACCCTTTCACTTCAGCCCTCTCCATCGTTTTTAACGTAAGCAAGAAAATGCAACTGTTTTCATTATGTGTTCTGATATTTCTTAATTTTGTACTGCATCTTCAGACCTCCAGAGGCTTATAATTGGTGTGATTTGGGGGTATTTCTAGACAATACTTTTAAGGAAATCATCTCACTGTGTCCCAGAAGGAGCTACTGAGCACTCATTCTCTTAAAAAAAAAAAAAAAAAAAGACTGAATTTGTACAGCTTTGCCTTCTACCCCCATCCCCCTTTTTATTCCTCCCAATGGAATTTTTGTATTTAATTGTTGAATTCTTCTTTCCTTAGATTAAGTTAAATATTTATTGGTATCTGTTGGGTTTTTTTTTTTTTTCTAAAGAAGAGAGCCTTATTGCTGAGACAGTCTCTTCATTCTGCATTGAGGATGTGACATAGAAAGGGACTGAAGGAGAGTTGTCTTGTGCTGGGAAAGTTAGTGCTGTTTTTGGAAAAAAAATATTGTAGGAAATGGAAATTAAAAATACATTTTATGCTGGTGGGAACTTTGTAATGAGGCTGAGAGAGGATTTGAAATCTCAGAAAAGCGATTATTACAAGGGAAAAAGCAGGACTTTATCATCCATTTGTGAAAGTTCTCCAGCTGAATATCCTTTTGGGGAACTGAAATTTGGCTCGAGTCTGTTTATGAACATCTGTTGAATGTAATTTTAAAAAGGCACAGATTATAATCTTAGTTTCTGTTGTCTGTTTAGGCTGGAATTGACAAAAACAAAGTACAAAAAACAAAGATAGAATGGCCTTTTTTTTTTTTTTTTAAATAGTGAGCTGCATGAATCTTCCACAGTCTGCGGTGCTGATTACCTGGCTGTGTGTGTTCATTCTGTACATTTTTCTCCTTGGCTTATGACATACAGATGTGTGGCTTCCGCCCCCGTCTGTATTTGGTTAATTCCATTACTTTTCCAGTGAGCTTTCAAATTTTGTGGGGTTTGGTTTTTTGTTTTCTTCACCAGCAGCCTGTTGGATGCCTGTGTTGTCTCTGATGTTTTTGTACAAGGAGCAGAGTGATGTATTTGAGGGGAAATTTTGAGAAATGTCGGGTGTTCCCAGAACCGTCGCCGTTCACTCAGTCCAGCTTTGCATCCTTCCCACCTGTCTTCAACTACATTTCTGTAAATGCAATCACTTGGTGTCTGCTGTCTCTAGATAGTACTACTTCAGCATCTATTTCTGCAGTATTTGTGACCTCCTGTTATTCAGGGAGGTCTTCGCTGTAATTTTCCCTCCTATTATTTTGCTTCTTTTGCAGCCTGATGTTTTTGTTGTTGTTTTATATTCCCAGCAAGCATCTTGTGAATGCTTCAGCCCAAAATTTAGGTCATCTCTGATAGAAGAAGGAAGAGGAAACCTAAAAAGTAAAAATAAGATTTCAATGTGCTTTAAAAAGCGCTTTTCTTTTGGGGGGGTGGGGGGGGGAAGGAAAAACATGCAAACTCTTCTGCATTTGACGTTCTGTGTGGACTGGGGAGAATGCAGGGTGCCTCTGTTTGATTTCAGGAGGAGAGCTGTGTTATCTTCATGTGACCGTGGCTTCTTACCCATGTGCTTTCCTGGTCTCTTTCATTTTCACACCTGCCTTGATCTTTAATCGCTCAAATTATTCATAGACTTGCCCTGGAAGAAGAAGAGGCTGACCTCTTCCCATCTGGAGTAGATGGATTTACTATCAGTAATTGTAAATGGACTCGGATGACTTAATGGTTTTTGTGCTTAAATTTTTTAATTCTGTGATTTCATTTCTTTTTAAGGATTCTGCCCACAGCTTCCCTGAACTGATAGATCTCTATGGTATAACTTCAAGTTACTTTGTGCAAATTGTATCTTAACATTGGGCTCGCATCCACAACGTGCTGATGATCCCCCATTGACTGCTGAGTTGTCAAAGAGCTCCGTTTGCACAGGACCAGGCCTGGAAGTTGCAGTTGTCTTTTTTTTTTTTCCCCCTGTAATTATATACAATGTCTTTCATTACAAAGAACCTGAAGACAATTTATGAAATCAGCAGCCACAAAAGTAATGCGGTGCCCGTTGGGGGTTATGTATTCACATTGATTACAATTTAACAATCCCTCAGCCTGAGGATATCTGAGAGGACTTAGCGCCAACTGCTTTTCAATCCGTGCGTGTTGCTATAAGCTGCAAGCTGGAACTGATAGATATCTGTTGCTATTGCCAGCAACTATTGGTTCTCTGTTACTTCAGTACCTTAATTTAAATTATTAAGAAACTTGTGAATCTGTTTTGTTTTTCTACTCTTCCTAGCACTGATACTTCATCTGGCCTAGATGTACAATGAATACTTTGGTGAATGTGATTTAGTCCAGTTTCCTCCATTAACTCAAGAAAGACTTCTTTTCTATATCGCTTTTCTCTCAAAAGGAGAGAAGACGTGCACAGCTGGAGTTCACCTGGACAAACTGAACTTGGAGCAGAATAAGATGCAAAATGAGAACATTTGTGATTTAGACTCAAGAAACTTTGTGTTGTTCTGCTGTAGAATTGTACTTGGTAAAAATCAACCAGAGGGAACCACCTGTAACCAAACACATCTTGATGATGGAGGGAGCACTACGAGGTGACTTCAATGACTCAGCTTTGGAGCTGTGTATTTAGATAGCCATCCCATATTTCCTCAGTGCTGTCTTTTGCATACTGTGCTGCTGTTCTCTCCGTTTTGCTCTTCCTAATTCTGAGAATGCAATGATTTGGTTTTTTTCCACAAGCAGATGACAGTTTGCTGTCTCCCCAGTGTCTTCCCATGGTTGCCTGTATGAGGTAAGTTACATTCTGATACTAATGCTGTATTCTCTGCAGCTACATGTTCTACATTCTACACTTCAGAAATCAGCAGCTCTCTAGCTTCCTAGGTTTTAGCTGAGTTTAACCTTTGGTGATTGGTAAACAGACTTGTTAAGAAAATTCATGGCCCGGTCATTCGTCTTTCAAATTCCAGAGTCTTGTCAAGCAAACTCTGCACCCTTGTCAGTCTACGTGTCAGTGTCCCTCTCATGGCAGTTTCTGGCTTTTCTGTTGGAGATGGGAACTTAGAAAGGCATCTTTAGGATGATGGATGTTCTGTGTGGGTACAGATAGCAGTATTTTTGGTGCAAATAAGGAAAGAAAATGCTCTCCAACATCTGAATGTAGATGCAAAATAACAGAATCACAGAATGGCCTGAGTTGGAAGGGACATCAAGGATCATGAATCTCCAACCCCCACAGGCAGAGTGAACAGAACCATGCAGGTTCTTTGTTAATGCTGGATCATTTGTTTCTTCTTCCCTCTGTCTAACATGTTTGAAAGGTTATTAATTGAAATTAGTTCAGCCAACTTCATGAATTAGTGATGTATTTCATAGGCCTGTCTCTGGCCAACACAAATCTTGCAAGGAAAAAAAGAAACTGTTTTTATTTTTTTCTAATTTCTAGCAACAAGGGGATTGAGGGCACCTTCAGTAGATCTGCAGACGACATCAAGTTGGGAGGGAGTGTTGATCTGCCGGAGGGGAGAAGGGCACTGCAGAGAGAGCTGGGTAGCCTGGATCGATGGGCAAGGTTAACTGTATGCATTTCAGTAGGGCCAAGAGTTGGGTCCTGCATTTTGGTCACAGCAACCCCAGGCAACCCTACGGGATTGGGGAAGAGTGGCTGGAAGCTGCCTGGTGGAAAGGGACCTTGGTGTGCTGATGGACAGTGGGCTGAATATGAGCCAGCAGTGTGCCCAGGTGGCCAAGAACACCAATGGCATCCTGGCTTGGATCAGGAATGCTGTGGTGAGCAGGACTGGGGAAGTCATCCTGCCCTGCACTCAGCACTGCTGAGGCCTCACCTCGAGTGCTGTGTTCAGATTTGGGCACCTCAGCACAGAAAGGACACGGAGGTGCTGCAGCAGGTCCAAAGCAGGGCAACAAGGCTGGGGAAGGGCTTGGAGGATATGGCCTCCGAGGAGAGACTGAAGGAACTGGGGCTGTTCGGTCTGGGGAGAAGGAGGCTGAGGGCAGACCTTATTGCCCTCTTCCAATACCTGAAAGGTGACAACAGCAGAGCGGGGTTGGTCTCTTCTCACTGGTGACAGGACGAGGGGGAATGGCCTCAAGTTGCGCCAGGGTAAGTTTAGGTTGGATATCAGGAAAAACCTTTACAGAAAGGGTTGTTAAGCACTGCAGTGGGCTGCCCAGGGAGGTGGCTGAGTCACCATCCCTGGATGTGCTTAAAAACCGTTTGGATGTGGTGCTCAGGGACATGATTTAGCAGGGGGTTGTTAGGGCAGTAGGTCATGGTTGGACTTGATGATCTTTAAGGTTTTTTCCCAACCTGAATTATTCTATGGCTCTAGGGGTAAACCCAGGAACACACACATCTCTTATCAAACTGTTTGAGATATACACAGGTCTCCTTGAAAGTAATGCCTCCTTATTATTTCCTTGGAAACAACAACAGATACGAAGAGCACATTAACACTATTTGATAGAGGAAGGTCTTAGCTGCAAAACACTCTTTTTCAACGTAGTCACCACTGTTAGCTGTGCGTTTTCGCAATGAAGAGGAGCCTGCACGCCATACATCAAAATCTGTGCTGGTGAAGGTGATCTGCTGCCAGTACTGCTGAAACGCAGCACCCACTGCCTCACTGTGCTCACATCGACGTTCAACAAATGTCAATGAACTTCATGCTGTTTTTTTCCACGTGGAAGAATTCAGTTCCACACCTTCGCTTCATACGCATGTCCATGTCAGCTGTGATTCTGTCAGCATGCCCCTCTGCTGCCATCTGCCACAACAAAATATAATGGACTGTTGGCAGGAAGGCTCAACTACTGCCATGCCACCAACAGCTGCCTGTGGCGTTGTGAGACAATGTAATATAGGAGGCACTACCTTTGGAACAGCTCTGCTCATTGTTTAGCACCATTATAATTTTCCAGCTACCCCTTCAACAATTGCAGTTGCAAGTTGATGTGGCTATAACTGATGTGGCTTGGAGTGCAGGTTGTGTCCCAAAGGATGCTCGTGTGCAGACTGCATCTCTTCTTGATCCCATAGTAACGCTGCAGCTAATTCTGATGGTTTCAGCTCTTCTGATGAGCTACCACACTGCTTTTTGTTTTGTCTTTCTTTTCTGAGTTTAAACAGTGCATCTTGTATTTGTTCAACTTAAGGTTACTTTTTACTTTCAGTGCTTTTGTAATGTCTCCATTACTTATGGGAGCTGAGGGTGGTCTTTTTGATTCAAAGTGTTTGATGAATATATTTGTAGGCATCTGCAAACTTTGTCCTTGCTTCATCTACTTATTCTGTGTTTACTTTAAGATAAAACTATCTTCTCTCCCCTAGATACGATGGGTCTTTCCTTCAGCTATAGTAGAGCTTCCTGTTGGTGTTTTGTTGTTTCTGAGTAAGGAAAGTCTGATATCTTTCAGCTCAGTTGTTGCTTCATCTCCTCTGCTCTCCCAGGGGGTCTCACATGCACTTTCAGTTCTGCCTTACATTCTTGATTTCGTGATGTTCCCTACTATTTACATTTCCTCACATATATCCTCTTCATACCATCTGCTACTTTATGTCTTGCTCATCTCTGAATTTGGTAACCATGCTGCATGCAACAGCATGCTACCTTATTTTCTTCAAATTTAATAAAAAGGTTTTAAAAGAACAAAGCAAGTTAAAATTCACCATTTCTATCTAGACATCATAACTGAAAAAGGAGCCATTGAAGGCCTTCAAATCCTCAAGATGGATGCATTTATAGCTGAGATCTTGTTTGTTGTTTATGCGAGAGGCATGTTATCCGATCCGCCACAGAGGTTTCACTACTGACAAAAATTAAGTTGTTATAGAATGCTCCCCTATCAATTCTTTTCTTTAGAATGCAGTAATTCTACTAAGCAGTATTTACTTCAGAGTCGGTGTGTGGCTGTGCCTTGTTAGATAAAAGCTGCAGTACTAAAACTGCTCTACTGAACTTAGCTCCTGACCTCCCTTCTAAGGCCACGTCTACAAAGGGATGATACATCAACCCAGTCCGTTTGATCTAATTACAGCTATTTAACTATGTTGAGCACAAGTACATCCATCTCACTTTGTTATGCTGATTTAAAGTATTTTCACTGTTGATCATGTGCATACCATCCTTTTTTATATCAGTACCTCTCAAAATACTCTGTGCCATTATCCTGCGGAGCGCTATTCTGCTTCTTAGCTCCATGTTCTTTTTCACAGCAGGCTGACAGGGAATTCTCTGGAATGTGGGAATCCTACAGGTCAAACTGACAATTTACTATTGCTTTTTTCTTGGCATTGATTTTTGCCTGTGCAACTTCTTCCTCAAAATGCTGCAAGGTGGCACGAAGAAAAAGCCAGTAAATCCATTATAAGGCTTGTTCCTCAGAGGCTGCATAGGTGGAATGGTTTTCTTCTACAGCTTTGTAAGTAGCAAAAACTCTGTGTAGTAGAAGAAATGCAAAAAGGGAAACCATCAGGTATGATCAACCTGTAACTTCCATGCAGTGTTTCTGGAGCAGCTGTGTCTGAGTGCAGTCACTCACAGTGCCTGGGTAGCACAGGAGGCCGATGCAGCAGCTGAACAGCAGGATGAGATGCATTGCACTCATGGAAATCTGTGCAGATCTCAGCTGCAGAGGTAAAATGCAAAGCGAGGGCTTCCCTTAACATGCAGAAGCCCGTTGCTGTCTATGGAAAAGCATTATTTCTGATTACTTGCGGAACCAGCTGGGTTTGAGTCAGGGATGTTGTCATGGGTTTTTTAATGCATATAGCTGAAGAAGATGCTGATCTTGTGTCATAAAGCTAATGCGTGAGAAGTTACTGAGAGCTTTTCCCAGGTACAAACCATGAATTAGGCCATAGGGGTCCAAGGAACAAATGTGGCCTATTGAGCCAGGAGAGAGAATTTATGAAGACTGTGAACAGTTTCTTAATGCTTGCACAAGGCCTTGCTCATCAGTGAAGGTGATTTACCATTAAGTGGATACAGAACAGTACTACAAAACTTTCTCATAACAGTCTAGAAACTTGAAATTGCTCTGATTTGTACAACATCTGTAAGATACTAAAGGGTGGGTGAAGACAAGGAGCAGAAAGGTGATTTTGATATTATCCAGTGAGAAAAACCTCAGCAAAGTATTCCCTTTGAGGAAGACCTGTGCACCTTTCTCAACAGAATTTTTCTCCCTGTACTTTCTATAATGGTATAGCAGTCAGAGAGACATCAGGAAACTTTGGTCCCATGTGGATATTTAATGTCCTATCTTTAAACATACATATCTTCTACCCATGCTGATAATATTTTTCATTGTTTCTGCATCAGTTTTGTTGCTTTATCAAATCTTACTGTGAATTTAGACTATTTCCTGTCCCATTTTCAGTGAACATGAACATTCAATTGCCAACATTCAGCATAACGAAGTGGAAGTTTGGTATTTTGTCCCCCCATGGTTCTCAGGTCAGCTCCCCCCTTTCGTTTTTCTGAGTCACCCAGCATTCTCCTTGTTCCTTGTGTTCTTCTCTGTTGGTTTTTATCAGTTTTTATGTTTTACGTGGTGCCTAAAACAGGATACAATATTCCAGCTGAGAATTTCACCAGCACTGAGTTGAACAAGGTATTTATCGTGGGTGTCCAATGTAAAAGAACCTTATTAAATATTTCTGTGATGCATTATCTTCATTGTGTTGACTCAAATTCAGTTTGTGATGCATTACAACCACTGGCTCCTTTAGTGAGCACTGCCTGCTACTCCTCTTATATTGCATGCTTCTGACTTGATCCTTGGCTACAGAAAACTGCTGAAAACGTCACGTTTTCAGGAGGAGGAAAAGAGATGAGGAGCTTTTCCAAAGGCACTGCTCCTGTGAAGTCCAGGTGGGTCAGCCTGCCTATGGAAGAGAGATTATCACTTAATGTTTCTTCACAATAATGGGTGGGAATGACAAAGTTTTGTCATTATTCACAGAAATCCTAATATGAGCTGGAGTAGGAATGTTTGCTTGCAAATGAGAAAGAAGATAGTTACAGTACGTGAATCTTAGATTATGCTTCTGGATATATTTTTCCACTCTCCTGTTACTCACAAGTTCTGCAGAACGACTTAATGAATGTCCCTTTCAATAAATAATAGTTCTGGCTGCCAGAGTTGAGATGAAGTGAAGTTAAAATTGGAAGGCTTTTGAAGAAAGAAGAAAACAACCAGAGAAGTTATGCAATTCTGCTTTTGTCCAAAACACTGAGAACATAAAGATGCTATCTATGGATGTGAGGTGTTCTCTTTTGGTCTTCCATGTGGTTATCAGGTTAGAACACTGCCAGAGCCAACCAAACAAAGAAGACACAGATGTGTTTCTGCCTAATGCCCCTTGCATATTGTTGTTTAAAGAAACATGAAGCAGTGGCAAGCGAGGAAGGAATCTGACAGCATGGAACGCGGTGTGCTTAAAATCATGAAAAACATCCACTTGAGAACAGAAAATCCCAACAAGAGCAGCCAAGGTTCGTTTGCGAAAGAGAAGTATCACTAAAGTAGGCGTATTTTTATCTGGAGAAATTAACAGACCTTTGATTGGAAGAATTTGAATATTCCTGGAGAAGTTGTGATCAAAAGTCATTAGCAAAAATAATAGAAATATAGTGGAAACCTTTAATGGTCCTACTGGGTCTCCTTTTTGGAAAGCTCTCCAGGGGCCATTATAGTGCTGAGGTGAGTTTGGGTGTGAGTGGAGGTTTGGCTGCAGCAAGGGTCACTGCTCAGTTCTCCGAGTGCAGACTGACAGATTTTGCTGAGCTCGTGTGTGCTCCATTGCTGGGTCAGCCTGCACATTCTGCACGGTGTATTTCATGCTGCTTTACGTTCCTGTGACCCGGATGAATTTAGCAGGGCGCTGAGCAGCAGGTTTCCTGTGTGTGCTTCTTGCACTTCTGCCCATCTTAATCCAGTTCTGTGCACTGTGATGCGGTCTGTGGTTACAAATCAAATAATATCAAATCAAATAATTTATATCAAATAATAAGACCTGCCTTCTCAAATGCTGTTGCATTTTGTGACTTTTTTCAGAATTTTTTTTTTACTTACATATCTTGTTTATTATATATAGTTCAAATTACTGCAGCAAATAGGGATTACTAATTGTAATGGATCTTCTTGATGTTTTTCACGATGGTATCTAAATACCTTTTAACTTTAAATGTGTCTTCACAGTATTGCAAAGTCTTTTCTTCTCAGTGCATTGATGCAAAGCAGGGAAATTAATGGCAAAGCTATCAAAACTCTCCACTGCATCTATATATTCCACAGTGACAAAAAACAAATTTTCAGCTTGTCCCAGTAAAATAATTAGAAATATCTTCTTCAGCCACCCACCAGGTTGCAGATGGATAGTCCAGGCTGTTGGTGTTTTTTTCCCCATGATGCTGAACTGAAGGAGCCTCTGTTGGTCACCATGCCTTATGTGGGCACTCACACTTCATGCTGTCCATAGAAACGTCAAATGTTAGCACAAAAGCTGTTGACCTTTTCAGCCTAGCAGCCCCAGCTGAAGGATTTTTTTTAATACATATATATATTTAATAAGACCTCCTATTCTGACTTGCATTCTCAAGTGTAATCGGGCCTTTTTGTATATTTGGTGCCAACATAACCCTGTAATTTCAATACCTGTTTTCAAACCGTAACCAGCGGTCAGCCTTTCTTTTGTTGGAGTTACCTGAGCTAAATCTTCAGCCTTTTCTCGTTATAGATTCTTTGCCTTTATAACCATCTTAGTGAGCCTTTCTACGACCATTCCAATTGTCATGTATCGTCCACGAATATAAACTGTGCTCAGAATTTTTTCAGTAACATCTGAGTGTGCCTTACCTGGCCATCAGATCACATTATCTCCTTCATTTTCTGTGGTGTGTGGTCATTCTGTGACCAAGTATGCTTTCAAGTCTTTGTCCTTCTCCATTAACTAAGATGAATTCCCGTTTACAGGAATGTTGGCTGTTAGTCCCTGGGTGAGCAGCCTCACGCTTTGCAGTCTTCTCATTACTGCGTTCCACCCCTGCTGGTCCAGCCTTCGGAATTCCCATCTTGTTCAAAAACATTGTCTGATTTTCCTCCACGTCTTTTCCCCTCCAGGTGAGAAATGAGCCTTGTACCTCTCACTGCGCTGGCTACTCCGTACAGATGCATACATATGTATAACGTACATGTACACATCTATACATATGTATAAAGTAATCCTTAAGAAAATCAGTCTGAGAATAGCCAAAATAAATAAAAGGGTACAGTGGGAAGGAGGCGAATCTGGAGGAAGACATGGAGAACGCTGCAGCATGCAGTGATTGCATTCAGGAACTGAATTTTCCAGCCTCTGGGCTGAACTGTATTTCCTGAAAGAAAGAAAACAAGCGATGCTTAGAACACTTTGTTTCATAATGTGTGTTGTTACACAGGTTGCCTTTTGGAGCACCTTTCACTGAGGTATCTGATTCCCAAGGCAGGAACACAACTGGCGACCTTGGGTGGTTTTCTGCTCGGTGTGCTCTGCCTTTGTTTTACTGAAGGTGCCTGTGATAGTATCAGCCCTTATGAAGAAGTAATATTGCTAAGGTTTGATTGTGGGCCTTCTCAAAGTCAGAGATAACAGCTAGATAAAAAAATGACCTTGTTTCTCAGCTCCAGTAATGAGTTCCAAACGTTCTGGTGAAGCCAGTCTAAGTGCAAGTGAGCTTCTGTGAGGTACGAACTCGTGAAGCTAAGAGCTGCTTCTGGTACCACTGCGCAAGATGATGGAACGGAGGCCTTAAAAAGCGTCACATCCCTACATGCAGACTGCAGGCTCCCCGTGTGGGTTTGACTACAGGATTCAGACTTTGACATACAAATTTATGGATAGCTGTTGAAAGGTCGATGAGTAAAATTTCTGCCTGGCCTTTCCATGATCAAGTGTTTCAAGGCTGGTCGACGTGCTGTTTATCCGGAGTGTTTGTTTATTGAGCTTATTTATCTGTGCCCGCCTTTGCACATTTGAAATGAAAGGACGTCAGTAAGTGTTCCCCTCATTGCATGAATGTTTAATAGTTTGTGTGTTCTTTCTCTAAATTAAGTATTGTGTTTGTGCCCAATTTATATCAACAAAAAACTCTTAAAATCAATTTTTGAAGGAGATTTTCAAAGCATATCATGCGACTGAGTCACAGCTCTGGATGAAGTGAGCTATTGTAGAATCTCATATAAAATACTGCAGTGAATTTGCCCAATCGAGGTATTTTACCAATGAGCACAGATTCAGAGCATCTCCCCTGGAGATTTCAGTCCACCGTGATCTGAGTTCCCACCTCAGGTGAACTTCTGACTTTTAGAAACCCAAAATCTTCAGCTCTTTTCAAAAGATTGTGTTCTCAATGCACAGATACTCGTTGTCTTGAGTAAGGAGCTGCTGTGGGCGTTATGGGCGGATCCTGCAGAGCACATGGCCAACTTTGAGGGAGTAAATGCTTAAAATCCCAGGCACTGCTGCTGTCTGAAATCGCGCACGCACTGAAGCACTCTGGCGGCCCGGGGCCGATGCGCTGCGCGTGGTGCAGGACCGAGCTCTGGGGAGCACAGGCGAACCGCGCGTCCGAATCTTCTTTCTCCATTTTAAACGTGAGGCTTAATGCAGAAATCCTGACAGACGTCTAATTAAAATAGTTATTTCAAAAGCGAGGAATGCAGCGTGTAAAGCTGACACACCGGGTTTCTTTCTGGCTCTCCCGGCATCCGAGCTCCCTGCTCTACAGCCGTAGTGCAGCGCTTGCCGCTCTCAGTTCTGCTCCGTTCCTGTGCGATCCTCTTCCATCTTTTCCAGCTGCTTCATTCTGTTTGGAAAATGGCAATGTAGAATGTGTTTGGTGTAACCTTAATCCTGACCAGCATCTGGGCTCCGCTTGAAAAAAAAAAAAAAAAAAAAAAAAAAAGCAGCATCTACTGCAGGGAAGGTCTGTGTGTGTGCTGCCCTGATCTGCAGAACAAAGTTGGGAAAAAACACCAAACCAACAACCGAAAATAGCCGTAGCAAATAATATTTTTTTCGAATTGACGTTTTAATTAATTGGAAGTTTTAATTAATTGTAGGTTTTAAGGTATTCTCCTGTACACAGGACAAACTGCGGGGCTGGCACTTGTCCCCTCACCTCTGTCCTGTACGTCATGCAGAGGCAAAGCGGATTTGCACCATTTCAGAGAAAGAGAGAAAGGAGAGGGGAGCTGTCTGGAAATTTACTCACAAAATATGGATAAGTTTAATGCCACCGTTAAAAAAATAATAATAATGTAATGAACTGAAATTCCTGCGCGATGCCTTACGGCATTTCCTTAATAAACTTTTACGGGCCTTGCAGTGGTACCCAGCAGAGGGATGTTTCATTCCCCCCCAGCGAGGCTCTCGGTGTGAGCGCGGCTCTCCCGGCCCGCACGGGGGGGCGAATCGCCTTTGAAAATCCGGCGCTCGGATCTCTGCAGCACCTGGAGATCGCGCGCATGACTCCGTAATTGTGCGCCCTGCGGAGCGGCTTTGTGTTCAGCCACACGTTGAAATCGCCGCTTCAGAGCCAGTTCCGATCGCTGGGGTGTGACTCCTAATTACAAAGCGTGGAATAACGCTTCTCAGCCAATTGCGCTTCCCTGATGTTCCCCCCACCTCTCCTTTTCTTTATTTCTTTTTTTTTTCTTTCTGTTTGATTTTCGCGACCCAGAAGTCGGTGGCACAGTGCCGCATCTGCCAGCGCTCACTGAGGGCTGCTGAACTTCACTCCCCGAACAGCCACAGAGGTCGCTTCTGAGCAGCACGAAACGTGGTTGGTTTGGTGGTTTGTTGTTTTTTTTTTCCCCCCCCCATCGAGGCTCTCAGTCCCTCATGGCCTCGGTGCAAAAGCGCGTTTAAATCCTTTACTCGGCTTTCCCACGTGGTGCGTTGCTGAGCTGCTGTCACAGCGCGCAGCGCGCTCATTTACACGGGGTGAATGCACTTGTTTCCTGCTTGCGCTGAGAACGCGGGAGGTGATGAACATCTTTAACCAAACGGCATTTCCAGGACAGCACGGGGAAAAGAAAAATTTAAAAAAAAAAAAAAAAGCTGGTGTGTGCTGGGAGACAAAACCCGGCTGTTCGTGCGAATATAGGACGTGTTAGATGTGTGTACGAGCACTGAAGCGGCGCTGGGAGGAGGGGGTGGGGAATTTTTTGGTCATCTTTTCACCCCGTTCAGAGCTGACGGTCGAACCGTGCCGTGGTTCAGCACTCAGCAGGGAGAAGGGAAGAGGGGACCCAAAATTGCATCTGGTCTGTAGACCTTGCTGTAATTTCTAATGGAAGGTGTCCCTTACCTTTAATTATTCAGTTTAAATAGACCTACGGCTCACTTGATTTCACTTAAAGGCCTTTTTCCCGAGGTCTCTAGGAGGCACCCTGCATCGAGCAACGAGATAAAATCTTGGCAAAAAGAGCACCAAAGGATGTGAACCCCTCGGAAAATTCCACTTCCTGTATACTAATGCTTGTCCTTGGGTCTCTCACTCATTCCCATGCATGTAACAAGGGATTTGCGCCTGGGGCTACAACGCTAACTTTCTAAATAAATGCCTTGTCGCAGAGAATAACCGAGCTCGCCACTTTCCGCCTTTTGCAGTTAATAGGTCGGTACGATCTGCGTCTCCTCTCCTCCTCCCTCCCTCCATTTTATTTCTCCTCCGTTTCTTTTTCAGCAGGCTCAACTCTCTCCTGCTGAACTTGCTATGAACAAAAGGCTCCGTTCCAGATCCAGCCCGGAGTTGCCGTGAGAAACTTCACTGCGAGCGCTGTCTGTGCGCTCCCTCCCTCGCCTGCTCGCTCCCTCCCTGGCTCGGTAAAATGGCAGTGCGAGAGCTTTATGAAAAGGGTGAAAACCCTCCTTTCTCGGCACCGGGCTCTCCCGCAGCTCCCCCCCCCCCCTCTCCCCCCCATAGCCCCAGTCGTGACTCCTGAACTCAAACTTCTCTAAAAATACACTTTAGGAGGGCAGAATTTCACGGCAGGGAATATTTTTTTTACACTCCTCTGAAAAGAGCAGCTGAGGGTGGGAGAAACGCAGAGGGACAGACTTGCTGGGAATTGGTGCCTCTCTGAGCGCTGGTGAACTGTGCCGATTTCACCTCCCTCCGTAGTATCGCCAGTTCCCGAGGACTTAAACAGAATAATAGTTTGCTGCGGTGGGAAAATCCAGGCCCGGAGTTGAGATCTTTCTCTTTTAGCAGCAATGAAAGCCTTTTTAACTCTTCCAAGTGGGGTTTGCAGTGCGATGTGCCTGATGGGCAAACCTCCCGACAGCTCCTAAATCTGGTGGGGGTCTGCACAGATCAGACGGTTGGCTCCCGATCCAGTGCAGGGATTTGTGCAGGCTCCGGTCCGCGTTTTCTTTCTCCCCCTCCCCCCCCCCCCCCAATTTATTTATTTATTTATTTATTTAATTTTTGTTGTTGTTAAGTAGATTTACTCCTCCAAGAGCGCTCAGAAGCAGAGCTGGTGTTCGACAGCGGCTGTGGAGCCTTGTGTGCATAACCGCCCATACAAAACACGCCACAAAGCTCTCCTCCCCAGCACTTTATTATTATTTTCCTTTTGGAGGTGTTCCGCGTTCAGAACATCCGTGAATTCTGCCCGGAATTCATAAATTCCAGCTCCGTTTCTTTCAGCCGCTCCCCGCGCAGCCCCACACGCGCTCCTGCCCCGCTCCCACCGCCCCCGCCTCTTCCCTTCCGCTCTGCGAACTCCGCTTCGCCTTTTACTCCTCCTAGCGAGGGCCGCTGAAATAATGCGTTTCCTTCAGTCAGGCAGAGTCCCCTTTCCTCTCCTAATATGCATCCAAACTTTCTGCAGCGCACCGTCAAATGTTAACAGCAGGCGCTATGAGCGCGGCCGGGGCAGCGGCTCCTCTTTGTAACCTTTGGTGCCGGCGCGGTGGGAAGCTGCAAATCCCGTGTAAAATCCACTCCTGCCTTTGAGCCGTGCTGCTGCGTTCAGCGAACTGACGGAGTTACCTTCTGCTGAAACTCCACTTCAGTTCGCAGTGCAGAGCTCTCTCGCTGCGTGCCCTTGAGCCATTGTGTCAGCGCTGGAGAGGGAGATTATACAATATCTTGACATTTCTTTTTTTTAAGAGGATAAATAAGCATTGTCTTGTACAATGCCCCGGCACATCAGCCACTCACAGCAAACGAATAATTCGAATAACGTTAAGATTAGTGGTTATGAAGCTGCAACGAGAGCGCTTAACCTCGACATGACAGTGGCTAAAATACTGGAAAGAATGGGCTGGACAAATAGAAACTTATTTATAGGAAATGTAATTTTCTTTAGCAAAACTACTCTCAGATAAGCTGAGGAACTGTAGATAACCTTTCCTCATTCCACTCCATCTTTTGCGGTGTGCTCTGTGAATTATAATGGATGGGTCTCTTGTTCTTGGGTCCAGTCTGCATATCTCAGCATACTGTGCCTCTCGGTAAAATGGAAGAGCATCCTTCTTCAGCCAACTGCGCTCACTGCTTCTCGGCTCCTTTCATTCTAGCTCAGTTGTGCTAGTTAATACTTTACTGTAGAAACTCTATCCAGTTCCTGAAGTAATCCAGTCCATGTTTGTAGCGGGTTGAAAGGCTGGGGATAATGATAACTTGTGTGAGCAAGTGAGAGAGAGGGAGCGCGGCTGACTTTAGTCTGGTTTCCATGTCAACGATTCAGTCCATATTTGCCATCACACAGTTGGCAGAGCCTTTTTTTTTTTTTTCTTTTTTTCAGGAGGGGGTCACTACTCCTGTTTCTAGTACTCAAATCTACACCAGGTTTCCTAACCTGCCTCGGTGCCAGGATAAATGGCACGGCCACCTTCATGAAGGAGACTCCACTCAGGAGGAGCCAGCCTAGTGGCGGTGGCCTGCAGTGCCATGTGAGCTCCGAGCTGGCCCCAGCCTATCTGAGCAGCCAGGGGCTGAGCCTGTTGTGGAGGAAAGCGTGCTCAGCACTCAGGGAGATGGGGAAGGGACGAGTGCTGCATGCTACTTAGCAGAGGCCGCAAAGGCTGAGAAGAGTGTTACTGTGTTGCAAAGAAAAGCCTTGTCCAGTTCTGTAGCTTGGAGAGGTGGGAGTAACAGCATGGGATGACACAGCTGGCAGGAGAATTTTCACCTATTAGATGGAAATGTTAAGAACTGTACCATCATCTGCCTTCCAAACCCCACGGTTGGAGTTTCATTGAATGCCTTAGTATTTAGTAACATGCCAAGGCCTCATTGATGAGGCATATTCCAAAATCTGCTTTAGCTTTCACAAACATTTGGTAAAGTGAGTGTCTCCTTATTGTGTGGGTGGCTGGGGAATCCAGTCTGCTTTTCACATTACAGTCAACACCAGGTTTCATAGTCTGCCACAGTGCTCTTTGAAGAAGGTTACGAAAGGTTGACACACGTAGAGAAGCTGCGAGCGTGGAGTCTTTGGGTGCACCTGAGCTGAAACTTCAGCCCCGCGTCCATATCTGGTAAACTTTTGGTGGTGCTTGGTTGGGCAGCAGGGCGTCCTGGAGTAGACAGCAGCTTCAGAGTTGAGAAGATTGTCCTCAAGATTGTGAGGCAGAATTGCCTCCAGTTTGGTTTTCCAGGTTTATAGCAAAAGAATCATCTGGAAAAGGGTGCGTTAGTGCTGTGGGCCGCTACAACCCCCTGCAGACACTGGTAAAGCTGCTCTCACAGGATGTAACCTGATGTCTTAAAAGCTTTTCCCTCCACCTGCTCCTACAACTTGGGGCTTGGTTAAATAAGATGCTCCTCCAAGGAGAGCATACAGACCAACTTTTTGCTCTAGCATTTTTCCACAGTTCTGCTGTGATGGAACCTCATCCATGTGGCACAGTCAACTGTGGCAAAGCTGTTTTTGTTTGAGAGCCTGTAGGGCTATTTACCACTCTAGAATACATGTAAAATATTGCTATTTATTGCCCCTGTCCAGGCTCCCTTCCTACTTTCAGCTTTGGAATAAACCTTTTGTTCTGCTACCCGCATTCTAGATAATACTTTCATATGACAGGCTTCATAATGAGTGCGAATGTTGAGTTGATAGTAGCAGACACTGAGATCTTCAGTTCATCCAGCAGCAGGCATGGAGCACTGGCAGTGATTCTATTCTTCCATGCATTGGCTTGCATCTTGCTCTGGACTCAGGTTTCCCCACTGCCATCAATGTTGTCAAAATGAGATTTCTCCTGATTGTGTCCTGCTGGTTGTTAAGACCTGGGCTGAGCTCAGTGCTTTCATCCCTGTACAGCTGGTAGTTGAGGTTATTCTGCCCCATTTTTTGTTTTGAGGTGGTGTTCTAAAACAGAAGGTCCCCTTCAGAAGCTTCTTCTGATTCCCCACCTATTGTATTCCAACCTTTTCCCTCTGTAAAGTTGTATTTGCTTAAACTTCACTTTTCCAAACATTCCGGTATTTCAGAGGAGACCCCTTCCCTCTCAGTCAGCCAGATTTGGGATGCATGGCTGAGGTCTAAAGCTTATAGGCATTCTCTCCATCACTTCTGGTTGTTTTTTTTTTTTACCGTGTAACTAACTCATTCTTTTGTATCTTTGTCACAGACCTGTACAAATTACAGTTAAAAACGTATCTAGAGAAGCTGCTGGGACAGGACAGCTCGTGTCCAGCACTGAGATCCAGGTACATTCCTCTCCTCCTCCTTCTGCTCTGGGAAAGGCTGGGGGGACAGAGGAGATGGGAATCTGGGTCTGAAATGGTTAAAGAAAAGCATGGCCTAAATCTTAGTTCACCTTTTGACAGTTGGGGAGCTCCAGCACCTCATGATCCTTGAGACCGCGGGAGCATCCCGGCCCATTGCTCAACGTGTTGTGTCTAGACACGTTCAGGTGGTTGCGGTTCTCCCCATTCAACCACCCTCAGGGAGTTCCTGGTCCGCTGCCCACTGCTGTCGCTTTGGCAGCAGTGGGAACAGGACTTTCTTGGATGTCCGTGTTGTGCAGCTCTTGTCTTGGCGCGCTGCCAACTGCTTTTCCAGAGGGACACAACCAGCAGAGAGGAAATGACAATCTTTAGTAGTTGGTAAAGGCTAATTCTAAATGGAATTTCTAGGGACAAGGAAGAGGCGCTTCGTTGACCCACGGCCCACCTCCTCGCCGAGCCCCCAGAGCCGCCGGCGAGCGACGCAGCCGCGCGCCCTCCTCGCTCTCCCTCAAAGGTGGGCTGCGGCCCCGTGCCCCCGCCGCCCCCGGAGGTGCCCGGAAGGTAAGGGAGGCCGCTCCGAGCGCGGCCGCATCTCCCGACCCCCGCCCCGAGCCGGGCGGCCCAGCCAGGGTCGTGCCGCCGCCCCGGCCCCGCCCGCTCCCCGGCCCCGGTTCCGCCGCGCCGCCCCACGCCGGTCGGCCGGGCTCGGCTCCGCGGATCCGCTGCGGGTTTTGCGTGCGGCAGCCTCCGCTGCGCCGAGCCGCGAGCGGCCGGGGCCGGCCCGCTCCTCCTTTGTGAAGGGGGGGAGGCTCCCGTCCGGGCCGCGCCGCGCTCCGCTCCGGGTTTGGCAGGCGGCCGCGGCGCTGGGTAAAATGGCAGTGCTGAGCCTCGTGTCGGAGTGAGCCCCGCTCGGCGGACCAGAGTCGGGAGCTGCCGCGCGGCTCGCCCAGCCCGGCCCCGCCGCCGCTCGGCCCGGCTCCGGGGACGGCGCCCGCCCGCCCGCCGTGTCCCCCCCCTCCTTCCCTCCCGCCTCTCCCGCACCGGGAGCCCCGTCCCGGGTCCCCCCCTCCTCCTCCTTCCCCCCACTCTCTCCTCCTCCTCCCCTTTCTCTGCCGGCTGCAACCGAGGAGGTACAGCGGGGCCAGGCCCCGGGAAGCCCAGCCCAGCGGAGCCCTCCCCGCCTCGCCAACCAGGCCGGGGGGGAATGAGCCCCCGCTGCCCTGAAGAGCCCGCCGCCGCCTGAGCGGGGAGCAGCAGAGCAGCGAGGCCTCACGCCGGCCGGCCAGGCAGGGAGCAGCTCGGGGGGGACCGGTCCGGGGGGGGGGGGGTGGCCGGGCGGGGAGTGGGGGGATCATGGCTGCTCAGGTCGCCCCCGCCGCCGCCAGCAGCCTGGGCGCCCCGGCTCCGGCCGAGCTGAAGAAAGCGGAGGCGCAGCAGCGGGATTGTCCCCCGGAGGAGGCGGGGGGTGAGGCGGCGGCGGAGCGCGGCGGCGGCGGCGAGAAGCAGGCGGAGAGCGAGGGCCCCCCGGGGAAGGAGCTGCAGGACGGGGCCGAGAGCAACGGAGGGGGCGCAGGGGCCGAGTCCGACCTGAAGAGCTCGAACGGGAACCCGGGCCCCAGGCCCGCCGCTGCCGCCGCCACCCTGAACAATAACCTCCCGGAGCCGCCCGGTGGCGGCGGCAGCAGCGACGGGGTGGGGGCGCCGCAGCAGCAGCAGCCGCCGCAGCAGCCTCCCCCTTCCCACCCGGCCGCCTTGCCCCCGCCAGCCTACGGCTTCGGGCAGCCCTACGGCCGGGGCGCCCAGGCTGCTGCCGCCGCCGCCGCCGCTGCGGCCGCCGCCGCTGCCTTCCACCAACATGGCGGACAACAAAGCCCTGGCATGGCAGCGCTGCAGAGCGGGGGCCTGGAGCAGTCTTACCCGGGGCCGGCGGGAGCCCCCGCGGGGCCGCCCCCTCCCCAGAACTCGCACGGCGGCGCCGAGCACGGCTTCCCCAACCACCAGTACAACTCCTACTACGCGGCCGGCGCCGGGCGCAGCGCCGGCTCCTACCCGCCTCCCCCCCAGGCCTACGCCCTGAGCTCCCCCCGGGGCAGCGCGCAGAGCTCCGCTCAGGCGGCCGCCGGCGCCAAGTCCCCCGCCGCCGCCGCCTTCCAGCAGCAGCGCTTCGGGGTCATGGGGCCCTCGGCCGCCGGCGGAGGAGGAGGAGGAGGAGGGGGCGCCACCCCGCAGCCCACGGCCACCCCCACCCTCAACCAGCTCCTCACCTCCCCCAGCTCCGCCCGCGGCTATCAGGGGTACCCCGGGGGCGACTATAGCGGCGGGCCGCAGGACGGGGGAGCCGCCGGCAAGGGCCCGGCCGCCGCGGATATGGTCTCGCAGTACGGCGGGGGCAACGGCCAGGGCTGGGCCGCAGCGCCCGGCGGGGCTCCGCCGAGGAGTCACCACGCGCCCATGAGCCCCGGGAGCAGCGGCGGCGGCGGCGGGGGACAGAGCCTCGGCCGGAGCCAGCAGGTAAGTGCGGGACCGCGTGGGGCGGGCGGCGCGCCGGGTGGGGACGGGACGGAGGGGCCGCGGCCGCCGGGCTGGGGCTGGGGCTGGGGGCGGCGGGGGAGAGAGGGGGCCTGAGGAGGAGGGGGGCTGGACGGGACGGCGCCTCTCCCGTGGCTTCTCCCCGCCGGGTCGGCGCTGCTGGGGAGCTGCCATTGTCTGTGCCTGCTCGCTCGCTCTAAAATGGCTGCCTCGCCGCCTTCCCTTCCTCCCCAGCCTTTGTGCGAGGCGCCCGGAGAGCGGCCTCCGTCCCGCGGGGGTGCTCCGGCGAGTGGGAGGGGGGAGAAACGGCGGTCGTCCCCGGCGGGGAGCGGCCGGGCTCGGCGCGAAGGGGCCGGCGGAGGCCGTGCGGCGGGGGTCGAGCGGCGGGCGGCCCGCCCGCCCGGGCTGACGCGGGGCTCCCTGGCATCGCCGCCGCTTTCCGCGCCGCCGCCCCGGTCCCCGCCGCTCCCCGCTCGGGGGGCTTCGCTCCCTGCCCGGGGTCGCCCGGGGCCCGCCCGGGTGGCCGCGTCTCAGCCCGGCCCGGAGGGGCCATCTTCCCCCGCGGGAGTCCCGGAGGCCCGAGCCCGTGGCTGGGAGTGCCGGTAAACAGCTCGGCGACGGGAGTAGTGAGTGCAGATTGCTTTGGTTTGGGATTTGAATTATGGAGGTAAAATCCTTCTGTCAAAGCCAGGAGACAGTTGGTCTTAGGTTGACATCCTATCTGTGATCTGATTGGCTCCCCATCTCCTGCTCTTGGCCATTTATAATTGCCTCTGATGTAATGGTACAACAATCCTGATGAGCTCATAAACTTTTACACTCGGCTTTTCTGCCAGCTCGGACCCGAAGCAGCCCTGCCGCTCGCCACCTCCTCGGCCCCCCACCGAAATTGGCCGTGACCTTGAGGAGGGTCGGCCCCGCGGGAGCGGAGCCCCGGCCTGCCTGCCCCGCTGCTTTGTGCCCGAGACAAAAGAAGAGGCGATGGCATTTTGTTTGTACCTTGGGTTTATTTTGCTTGTGATGCTTTATGCAGCCTGGAATAGAGTCTGTGTTGTCAGAACAGTGGCAGGGTTTCTCTGCACAATGGACTTGCTGTTTATTTTGGTTATGTGACTTTCCTTTTGGTATAAATGATTTCTTTGATGGATCTGAGGGTGCATTTGTTACTGACTAATTTTGGCCCTTTTCAAAACTGGGGCTGTTTGGAGTCTTTGAGCTGGAGATGGGGGGGTTTCTGGGGTATACTGCAGCCTTACAAATAAACAGAAAACCCCACCAAACAATTGCAACCAATCTTGCGGTGGAAGCACTGAAAATGAATTACCTACTTGAATTCATTGGGGAGCGTTAGTATTGATCAGGCCTCGGCTCCTGGCTGTGCATCTTGGGCGCGTTTTGACTTTTGAGCGAGCACTGACAACATCTGTCCCTCTGTGTGTTTAAAGGACGTACTTCAGGTCCTCACTGTGTCACAGCACTTTGCTTTTTGAAGGAGTATGAACAGGATAACCAAGCCTGCACTTCAGAATGATCATCATATGGGTAGAGTTACCCGTTTGCTGAAAATATGGAGGAGCAGAAAGCATGTCGAGGAGAAAGCACTGTGTTGTATGCATCAGACATCTTAGATAAGGGGGAAGGAGAGATGCTGGTATCTAATATCTGGAAACTTCTGGATTCTGAATTCTGAAACTATCTAATATCTGGAACCAGTTTCCTCTCTGTATTCAAACACGCATCCTCACGGCCTGTCGTGGCCTCATGCAGCCTGTCAGACGTCTCTCCTTCTGTGTGCTCTGCTCTATCTTCAGGCCCTGGGTTTGAGCCATTTGATCCCACGCAGTGTGACATGCAGCCTCCAGACTTTCCCTTCTTGCTCAGTGCTTGTGTCCACATGAAAGCTGCTTAATTTGTGTCCCTTGGTTACCTGAAGGTGATCTCCTTCATCATTTTGAGTTACTTGATTGTCTCTTCTGTCAAACAGTGCTTTCTAAGAGTGCCAGTCTTACCTCTGCTGTGTTCTTCAGAGTGTCTGATGGTAACTGGTAGTGAGCATCCCATTGTTCAGAGTGAAGGCTGCAGGTCCTCAGGGGTGCAGCCATGTGTACCTGCAGCACAGGAGTACATAGGATGGGTGACACGGGTGCTACGATGTTTACTTGAATTTACTCTTTGTAGCCTGAATACGTGGATATTGATAGAATGTGTGCTAAAAGCCAGTGTCAGATTGAACTTTTCAGGCGGCTATTTTATTATGCTACATATCTGACAAAAACGTGTTCCTGTCCGCGTCATGATAGAACGGGAGGTATCTCTGGGTTGTGTTTTTGTCCTGGAAAGTGGTTTTAGCTTGGTTCTGTATCTCTTGATATGCTACATATTAGTAATATCTGAATAACTAGTCTCATTAGCTGGGATCATTAATGCCGCTTTGAGAATTAGTTTAACTTCTAAGTAGTGCAAATAGTGTACATAAAAAGTAACTTAACTTTCCTACCCTAAAAAAAAACAAACAAAACTCCCCAGTTTTATTTGCGATAAGGACTGTTGGACTAAGCTGACCAATCCTTTTTGTTGTTAAAACCACAAAACCCAACCCAAACAGGCTTACCTTGCGTGATGGAAAAAGCTTACACGTGTCATCTGCTGCTCACAATAAATAATAATAATAATATTCTGGTCCTAAATACAACACTCTGCCGAATTCCCTGGATTGGAAGAACTTAAAGCTTGTGTCTTTCCTTTGTTTTGTACAGTGGTGAACAGAGTGTGTGCTTACTGTGTAACTTTCTGAGAAAAGGTTGGACAGTGAGAGCAGGACGTGGCTCACCTGGCTGTGTGTTAGGAGGAGGAGCATCTCCTGGTGCAGAAGGTGATGGGAAGAACGGGGGGTTCCTCCAGGCAGGAACTGCTGGGGCAGTGAGCTTGGGGTTTTGGAGGTGGGCAGCACACCATGCACAAAAGTGCCCTTAATTCTCCTTACTTGTTAGGATTTATGAATTATGCTGTATGGAGAGTTTTATTGCATTGCTCATCAAGAAAGTGCGCTTTCTGGAGTGCAGGTTGTCTTGGGGGAACAGTTCAGGTAATAAATGGAGA